TTTTGATATGATTGTACATCTCTCTACCGCAGTATTTCATTTTAGATTATATTATATCATATATATGATATTTTAGCCGCTGCAGTGTTTTATGTCTGTATGTATATGTGATCCTGATGAGATTTTGTTCTACTTCAGTCATTTTTCTTTATACATATTTCTGACATATCTGTAAGAGCACCATTGGAATCTGCTGCCTTACCCTGGGAAGGTTTGTCCAGTGTGAACCAAAGTTGAACTTTGTCAGGATGGTTCTTCTTCACCTCCTCCAGCTCCTCCCTCAGTAGAATATCTTTCTCAGTCTGATAGGGAGCAAAGTGAAAGGGATTAAGCTTCTCCAGAGTGTTTTCCATTTATCTACCGTGCAGTAATACTCTTTAACAATAGGACACAGGGACAATACACTGCACAGAGCTGACCTGGTTGGCGAATATGAGAGAGCACTTGGTCTTGTCACTGGGGTCTGCTGTGATACTGCGGATTAACTGCAGCATAGGAGTGATACCTGAGATGGTAAAAGACGTTGAAGTTAGCCTCAGAGGATGGTTCATGTCTAACATGACATGAGGGTATCATTAGCTACAGTGTTACCTTTTCTCAGTCGTTCATGATATTGTCATCAAAGAAAAAGAAAATATCATTTAGTGGTCCTGAAAGTTGACTAAATGACAGCTTTAGAGTACATTAGAGTGATTGTAAATAGTGTAAATGAACCTGTTCCACCGGCGATCATTGCAACGTGCTTAAACTTCCGAACTTTTGGCTCTGACTTCTTGTCTGGTCGGATGGAAAACAGACCTGATGAGGAGAGAGTAAGTCTCAGTGTTAGTGTGTGTTTGGTCTTATTTTGTACCACAGTGACATCTGCTGGTGACAGAAGCTTTATTTCTTTTTTTTCCACACCATTTCCCTTATACACCAGCAGTCCATTGGGTCCTCTGAAGTCAATGGTGTCTCCAATAGCCATGTTGTCCAGGTACTGAGACATCTTCCCTCCTTCTGGGAAGGAGGGGTGGGTGTTCTTGTAGTACACCTGGAGAAGTTACAAAAGGACACAACAATTTTTATTTCTTATTTCATCTTTTATCGAAAAATGTCCTTCACTATGTTTCACAAGCTAGTTGCTAACTTTCTGTCTGCTGTTTGGTGCTGGGCAGGTAGGGTACAGTGTACACTCGGACAGGTATTTATACTCTTGTAGCATTGTCATTTTATCTCTTTAGTTCAGCAGGAATTCTTTCAATGGACTGGAAAAAATCTGCTAAGCATCTGGTCCACAATTCGTTCAGTGACTTATTACTGCAGACTTGAATACAAATCGAGAAAGTCATGACGTCTTATTGAGGACTTACTAACTACCTGCCATCCAATATGTGATATAATGGCTTGTAACTGATGTGCAAAGTATCAGTAAATTATATTATTATTATTAGTAAAGCCAATAATAATGAGCCCTAACAGCCCAAATAACCCACAGAAAAACTTCTGCAGTTAACCCATGGGCCAACCTCTGTTGCTATCTTCATGTCGTTTTGTGCCCTTAGGTCAGTTATGTTCATTACCTTAACCACAAGGTCGACATATCCCTGGTCCTCATCACTGGAGACTGGAGTGTAGGCTCGGACCACCACACTCCCGCTCACCTTGGCTGACAAGTACACGTGCTGACCTGGTCCAGAGGACAGAGGGGAGGTCAGGCAGGGAGGATGGGTGAGGTGGTGGATTTGAGGGAATGAGGGAAAATGTGGAAACATGCATGAGGAGTGATGGAAACAAGCCGTATCTAATCCATTTAAACAGCTTTTCTCATTCTTTTCAAGTGCTTACATGACCAATTTACCGTAATTTGGGAATCTAATGAATCTCTAATACACCAGCACATGTGTATCCTTTGATGTCTTGGAGTATTACAAGCAATGTATGCATTATCATGAATAATGTAATCTTGTATTCTCATTTCAAGACACTTAAGCCGGGCCAACGCTCGGATATGTGTCTAAATGCTTACTTCTTAATCTTCATCTTAAAGCATTGGCAGAAAATCATTGAATCTAGCTGTTGTGTATCTGAGAAGAGAAGAGAGCTGTTTCAGTACCTATTGGCAGTCCAAGGATATGAGTTGAAGATGGAAGCCCAAACCGAAATTTCTTTGTGTCATGGCTGATTTCCTGTACAATGACACACACAGGTTAGAAAACATAAAAAAAACAAAGAAATATTACATACAATATCATAGCTATTAGATTTCTCTCAAATCTCATTCATTTAATGCTGTGAGCACCACCATAGAAATCTCAGACAGATATCTCAAAAACTGGATTAAAAAAACCAAAACACTTCCACTGTATGGTACTATGTAAAACCAACCCTTTAAACTGGATGAGCTTCATAAAATTGGTGTGCACACTTGTTTAAGACAGTGGTTCCCAACCTTTTCTTTAAGACGCACCTCCACAGCCCTATGAGAGGAACTCAGTTTCAATATATTGTCGTACAGCGGTCAGTGTTTAGCTTTAGGATGGTTTGGTCAAGTTTGCATTCGTCACTAGTGGCATAAGATAACTAGCTAACTAACAACTGTTTATCCATTACTGTTAGATAACTATTTAAACTGTTTGTTTTTGGATAATGGGCTCAGCTGTTTATTTTGGCAAACTGTTTCAAATGTTTACTTTTAGCTTACTGTCTCAATTGTTGACTTTTGGCTAACTGTGTGAACTGTGCATTCATTATTTTTAGCTTCTTTGAACCATTTACACATCGCTGTTAGCTGAATTATTTAGCCATTTATTTGCTTGCTAACAGTAACTTCCTTCACACGCACATCTGTTCAGATTACAGCTGACTCAACGTATGGATGAATATTTTCTAATCAAATTCTTAATTCAGATTGTTTCCCTTGTAACAGTAGAAGCACCCTCTGGGGTAAAGTAGGCCACCTCTGGTTTAAGACATTAAACTTGTTGGCCAGCTTAACATACATTCACCTGAAGTGTTTCAATATGTGGTGAAACACAAACTGGAAAATAACCTATAATATACAGTGCACATCTCCTTCTGCAGCCAGTTACATGCTACATTATTCCCTCACAGTATTAAATACTCAACCAAGTAGGTGAATATTAAGTTGCTGTGTAACCAGGTTTGAATGTGTGAAAGTACAGATTTTTTGTTAAATGTGTGTGTGTGTGTGTGTGTGTGTGTGTGTGCAGTATACCTGTTTGTCTATAAGGGGAAGGGGATATTTGACCGTAGGATCCTGCAGAGTGACAGGCAGTTTCTTCTTCTTCCCTCCTGCAGAGCCTTGCAGGAGAAAGTACAGCACTGTCACTACCACCACAGAAACAGCTGCCACCACCGAGATCATCTGCAACACAAAGATCACATACAGTGTGGAGACTCACATTGCACATAAATAACAGTTAAATGTTCTAATTTTGTTCAAAATGCATTATCAATAAGTTACACTACAGTACAGTTAAACAACATAAAACAATGAAAGAGGAATGATGAGCAGATAAATAAAATCTCACAATCTGAGTAATATAGAGCAGTTCTTCAATGAATATAACCACTTTCAGACAAGATTAAGTGGAATAATTAAATAGGGAAATCAAGTGAAAGCTAATTCTCACCAAGCTCTGATCCATAGTTTTAACAAGCAACAAATAACTTCCTCGCACAGTCTGGAGACCAGAGTCCACACACAGTCCAAGCACTGCCTTCACAATACTCTCTCTCTATGTGTCTCTCTCTCTCGCTCGCTCTCTCTCTCTCTCTCTCCTCTCTCCCACACACACACACACACACACACACACACACACACACACACACACACACACACACACACACACAGTGTAGGGCCTCTTAAGGGGGTGTGTCTTCCCACAGGGGGAAAGGTGACACAAGGTTCAAAGCACCAATAGGAAGACGGATCTCATCATGACACTACATAGTACAGAGGTGGTGTTCAGGCAGTGAGGAGCAGAGCCATGAGATCACACCACTGAGAGAGGGGAGGAGAGAGAGAGACACCAGGATGACATAACAAGCACTGAGCAAAACTATTAGTTTTCTTTACAGAGAAGTACTTGCATTTTCAAAGCTGATAATCCTGGTTGTATGAGTATACTGCACAGTCCATTTCATTTATGAATCTTGATTTTTATTGCATCTTGAAATAATACATGATAGGAAAGTATGTCCTCAAGTTTACTGACAACTTTAACACTGAGTTCAAAACAAGTGGCATAAAAATCATTATAAGTTTATTTTCTACCAGTGGAATCACCAAGCAGCAAAAGCAAAGCTCATATAGACTTTATCTACAATGGTTTATAATAGATAAAGTACAATACATATATAAATTACCTACAAACATAAAACACATAAGACAGCTCTCATAATGCAACAGTAATGGGAACACTTTAGTCCCACTATTGAGCATTTATAAGCAATACAAACATTTAGTAAATGGTTTATAACACACTATAATGTGGTTGGATGTCATAACCCACAGGAGAAGCTACAGTTGTTGACAAATACATTAATAAACACATATATCTGCATACAAGTACATTATATTGTGGTAGATATCCTTTTAGAAATGCTAAATAGTGGGACTTCAAATAATGTTATTATTTATTTACTTATTATTGCCAAAATAAAATATATAATATACATGATAGCATGTTTATAAAGTGTTTTGAGATGCAGATGTAAACATTTAGGAGGAAGATAAACAAACAAAGTTACAGTCAGCCATTAAAATGAAAATCAGGACTCAATAAAGGGAAATCATACTACTCTGTCAACAAGTAGATTTATTTCAACCTGTTTTTTATTGTTTTATTAAATTGAATTCATTAAACTGAATCTATGACCAAAGCACTTAAAGAAATGTCCAAAGTGTTATATATTACACGCTTGGAAATGTGTCCCCGATCCCTGAGGATTCTCCGCTGTAGTCATGACCTGAGCCCATGTCCACATGCAGTCTGGGATCCTCTGAGCTCTTATGGTCCACAGCACCTTGTTGGGTCAGGGCTCTGCTGCTGGACTGCGGCACAACTGGGTCTGCGACATCCAAGTCCACTAAAAGCAGAATTATGTAGAGTTACAAAAGGACAGGATAAAGCGTGACCAAAGCATAAAGACAGGGCATGCTGTACATTATCTCTCTTATAACATGTAAGTTATTTTGCACTATAAACGATCTTTATATCATATTTTGTAAAGACATTGTAGTAATTTTAAAGTGGTGTCAACCTTTTCTCTGAACTAAGAGTGCACGATTCATTGTTAGTTAATGATTTCCTTCATGTCCTCAAGTGACTTTCAGTTCATGTTTGCAGGCAAGACTGTTATGATTAAGAACAAGATTGCTATTTGCCTGCACTGTCTACATTTCCTGAGCTTTTTAAATGAAATCAATATTGCAGTATAGCAATTCACCCAGTTGAGCTCATTTGCGATACATCTATTACCATAAGGGAGAGAAAAGAACTTTCCTTTTGTCAAGAAAACAACCAACAAGTTCATCAGTACCACTCTCTTCTCTTACAGCTACTATAAAAGTGCTCTTGAGCAAGGCACTGAAAAAAAAAAAAAGCAAAAGGATGTTGCTTTTTACTCTCCTGTAGAAACCAAAGTTGAAAAACTAGAGAAAGCAACAGGCCTATTTTGTAGCAGATATTTTGACTTGTAAAATGAGTGTAAACACAGTCCGAATTAATAACATTAACAATGGCTGCATCCCATTTCATGCGCCATGTGCAGGACACTTTTCAGAGCAGACATTTGGACTTGTAAATGCAGGAAAAGCACAGGTGTAAATAATAACATTAACGATTATGTGTGCCAGTAAACAAGGTCAGTGAGTGAGCATGCACAATAACAGAGTTTAACAAAATGGAATGCAGCCATTAGTTTGAGAATTGCAACCAACTGAAAACCTGCTTGTGTATTTGATGACCTGGGAATAAGAACGGGCTGTGAAGTGTGTATGGAGAAACTATGGTGGCTGTGAAACTCCATTTCTGCCAATAGATCCTCCTAAATGTTACACACTGGACCTTTAAAGGGCAAGTAAAATAAAAAACACAATATTTAGACTTACCCAATAAGTCTAAATATTGTGTTTTTTGTTCTTGTTCACAAATTCAATTAAATTCAGATTTAAAACTATTTATTAACGTGACTTTGAATTTGTTCAAACACTTGTTTCACTTCAATTCCTATAAACTGCCACTAGAGGGAGCCCTGTATCTACAAACAGCAGTTCCCTTTTATGTAGTTTCCTACTGACATCAACTTTAAGAGTTGTTATGAGAGATGGAAGGTCACTTCCTCTGGCATATGAAATGAATGTTTATACCACAAACAACCTAAAAGTCCCCTTCTTGTTCGTGTTGTGGACGTTTGGAGGACTAATGTGTCCTCTGCAATCCTGACTTAGCGGCAATTTCCAAGACAATAATGTACAATACATTAAAAACTACAAGCATGTAATGAATGACTTCTTCTTTCATAATTAAGTACAGGGTGTGGTTATGACATTCATATATAATGAAGGGCAGTGGCTCCCAAACTGGGAGTTGGGACCCCCTCAAGGGGTTGCAACATAAATTTGTGTGGTTGTTTAATGATTGCTAAAATAGGAAAGCAAAAAAAGTCTATTCTGTAATTATTTCTCTTCAGATGTCTAACAAGTATTTGACTAAAACAATAGAATGACTAATCACCCATTGGTTGTCCTTTGGTTAACTTCATCTACAGTAACTTGAGAAATGAATTATTTGCCAGTGAAGCTGAATCCTCAAGAGTTGAATATCTGGATATAGCGGAGCAGAGTGAAACAATGCCTTGTTTGATGGAAACACAAACTGTGTGGGCAAAACACTGGGCATGTTGCTGTATCATGTGATATTCATTTCTGCCTGATGGATGTCCAGTGTGTGCTGTGTTCACTGGCACTCTGACAACAACTAACTATTGAGTTTCTTTGACCCGGGGCAGCATTGTTATTATATTCTTTAAGTAGATTATAAAATGATTTTACTATGAACAAACACAAGCACTGTATGCATTGTAGATGGGTTAGGAGGGAAATTACATCTTGTTATGCTAATCAAGAAAAAATCTCAAATAGATTTTAAGAAAAATGTAAAGATTCACTTTTCATGATCTTGTGTGGCTTAATAGCCTACTCACTGAATTTGTAATGACACACATTCTTATGAATGAAGTTTTGCCTGTATACACTGCAGTCATATAATAGCCTATTTTACACAGACGTGGCATTTCTGGCCTATACCTAGTGTTGATGCTAAACAGCACGACCGCCGGCATATAAAAGATAAACGTTGCGTCTCCACTTCCCTGATGAAGCTACCACAGATATGGTCGCTTCCATCTTGTGCTGGTGATGTCATTTGGAGCCAGAATCTGCGCAGTAGCAACCGGTGTGTGCAGCACAGTATGGAGGTCCCACCGATACACAGGGCCGACTCACGAGCAGGCCTCAGCTGTCAGTCATGACCTGAAACGTGCTGTTTATTGCATTAAATAACTAATTAAACCAAACTTATCAGAAAAATGAACACATCAGGGCCATAAGAACTAACCTATGTGACTTTTTTTTATTCTAACGTCACATGTGAGTAGGATTTTGATGCCTTTAACCTGTTGATTGCTTCATATATGCCAATACTAATACTAATACTTTTGTCATAATGCTAACATAACTCTTTTTTTTTGCTTTGAACCCGTACTGCCGGTTGACGGTATTCACCATTTTTCACCAACTTCGAGAGCTAACTAGCATTATAACTACCACTAGCTGCTTTAACTGGAATTACATGTCTCGTGTTACTAACTAAAGCTGACAGATGTCCAAAAAAGTATGGCATGTAGTAAAATGGTTTTGGAAATGTGAGGATGACTGCCACATACAAATTTATTTAATTTTATACTTTATACCAACTATTGTCCAGAAGCTAACATGAAATTATCTACCCACGTTCTACATGCCCATTCTTGGTTGTTTAGAGAAATGTTATCATCTGCACGGACTTTTACGTATTAAAGTAACCGAATATCCTAACTGCAACCGATCACTGGTGGAGTGAAGTTGCACAAGGCAGTTCTGCATTCGTGGATTAAAACTGCAAGTCTGTACCACCCAACATCTCAGCCCATGTTTCAAAGGACGTAATAAAACACAAGAAACAAAATAAAGCAGTGCTTTTACATAATCCTTTCACATTAATCTAACCTACTTGTTAGCTCCGCCCATTCTGAGTCAGTGCACACCTGGATGGGCGGAGCCTCTAGTTACACAGTTTGGAAAGAAGGGTTACTGGAGTAATCAAAGGTGCAAAGCAGCATCACAGTCCCAAAGGAACTGGTGAAGGTGAACCCTGGAGATATGCCTTTGAAAGACGCACACACATACACACACAAACCAGAGAGAGAGAGAGAGAGAGAGAGAGAGAGAGAGAGAGAGAGAGAGAGAGAGAGAGAGAGAGAGAAAACAAGTGATGAAAAACTGACAGCAGAAAGAAACAAGTCTGATGAAAGAGGAAGAAGAGAGAGAGTGGAAGACAGTTGAAAAGAATTAAGCATCAGAAATCAGCATCAAACTGAATGTTTCAGTTGGGACTCATGAGAAATTCACAGTCTCAAGAAAAAACACTGCCACTTTTGTCATGTGGAAACCCGCCAGCGTATATAACCCCATTGAGTCCCAAAGCTAGAGTATAAAGAAACACAGATTAATAATAAATCTTTGAGGAAAAGAAAAATCTAGATGTGGAAAGAACTGCAATATAAAAGATAAATAGAAGAGTGTGCGAGAAAGGAGTTCATAGAGCAAATGACAGGAAATGAAAGAGAAGCCTCACTGTCTTTCTCTGGAGGACACGCGCGCACACACACACACACACACACACACACACACACACACACACACACACACACACACACACACACACACACACACACACACACACACACACACACACACACACACACACACACACCAAATCTGTGCGTATATCAGGTCCTGTTGTCACCACTGGCAGCCTGTTGAGAGATTCTGTCTCTCTGGACGGGATCAAGATGAGCAGAAACACACTGAACACACAGTGCAGGAACTGAACAGGGAAAACTCTGTTCTGAATGAGCACATGTGTTCGTTTGTTTGAATGTTTGTATGTGCACTCACAGTATGGAGATTCAGCTGCAGAGTAGAGGATACACAGGGTGTGGTGAGGATCTTAAATAAACTTAAATAAAAAGGTTTTCCTGGGAGGATGCTGATGTGTTTTTGAATTGATGAAAGCTGAAAGCTGATATTTTGTGCCAGTATCCACCTCACCATTGTTAAATTTGACCATTTTAATGCCAGAATTCTTTGGTTTCGTACCTACAGTAGGAATCCCTTAAGGTGTGCATACAAGGGTGGTATCAATCTTCTGATCTAGCTCTCTGCAAGTACAACGAAACAAACGAAAACACAATAATTCCTATAGTCAGTTATACATACCAAAACATAGCTGTGACTATTAGATTCCATTTATGCCAATAGATCCTCCTCATTGTTACACATTGGACCTATTAAAAACCTCCCACAGTCAACCAGTGGAAAACTGAATGACTATATTTCTTGTGTTGTTGTCTTAATACTGAAGCTCTTTTCTTCTCTAATTTTAAAAAAGCAGAAAAAGGGAGCTAGCAACAAAACCTAACAACTGTGACAGCTGTAAGTGAGATTTTTTTCCCCCAGTGGAGACACAGACTGAATTGTGTTTCTGTGTAATTTCTGGCGCTGCTTGTACTTCAGTATTTAGTTTGAAGGACTTATCTCTCAGAAAATATTGAGATAAAAATAGAGGAGAGAAAAGAGCAACAATATGGCCAGTGTAAAAATAAAGCTGAATCATCTTATCCTCATACTGTAGGTACAACTAGGACATGTATTTTGGGGGGTTTGCACCTATTTGTCAGTTTGCAGGAGCAAGTGTGTCATTCTGCGTCTGAAGTCTCAGCTGTAACTCCAGTGTTAAATGTCACATTGCCATTCTAAATGCCAGTGACGTTCGCTGCTTTGTTGAGCCAGTGACAGCACTCGTGGACTACTTAAACTAAGACAAAACAAGCTGTCTCTCCTCTATTTCATTATTGTTTGCTCTTACACAAAGGGAGCACGTTCTTTAATGTGACCTTCATTTCCTCAGAGAGTTGCAACTGGGAGCTGCTGAGCACCATCTATTTCCACCGTTGACTGCTACAGCTCCATGCAGGAGCTGAAATGTCAATGTCATGCTTAAGAACTCAAGGACTCAAGGTGAGGAGGGTTACTCATTCTCTTTCACTTACATAACATTTTCTTGGGAGCCAGGATTCTTGTCACCACAAACCACAAACCTTAAGTCAACACATTAAAATGCAAAAGAGGCCAAAGAGAATGTAAAGAACCACCAACCATATAATCTCGAACCGTCTCTTTTATCTCTCAGGCCGTCTCTTCGACTCTCTGCACCGGTTGTGTCCTGATGATGGAGGTCTGCAGAAAAACAGTGGATTCCATTTCTGCCAATAGATCCTCGTAAATGTCATACACTGGACCTTTAAAATTAGTTAGGTTTAGTAGTTTTATTCTGGTTTTCACATAGTTTTGCTTGTTTTTGTATGTTTCGTAGGGATTATATTTTTTAGGTGCACTAATACAAGTTCAGATATATAGTATTCAGATATATGTTTGTAAAATTAGTTGTGCAATACAACAAATTACAAGATTAAAAATGTTAAAAAATTCCAAATTCAACATTACTCAAGCATTTTTCTTATTAGTTCGCTTTACCTTTTTAAATCGCATTTTATTCTTGCCAAGGTTGTAAAAGCTTCTAAAGACCAACTCGTTTAGACTATCATAGAACAATAAGACTGATCAATGAATTCACACACATTGAACACATACATACCATGGACATACCTGTATGGCTGATGAAATCAAGTGTAGCACTGAAGCCCCTGTGTGTGATGCTGCTGTCTGACTTGAACTGAAGCACCATGACGCTGTCGTAGGACAGCACAGGAGGGGGAACACTGCCACCACACAGCACCACTGCACAAAACATGACAAAATAAAGCCTCTTATTTCGACTAATGTTGCATTATTTTTGAATCTGATAATAATGCAACAAAGACAGACAGGGAGACAGGCCACAAAAGTGCCCTCTTGGAAGCCCCTATGGTAGATAAAACATGATAAAGTGCCCTCTAGGGTGTCCATCTAGTGGAGAAAACATGATAACGGTGTTTCTCCACTTGAGAATACATGATAAAGTTCCCTCTAGGCCGCCATTCTAGTAAAGAAATTGTGATAAAGTGCCCTGTAGCTCCTTCGGTGGAGAAAACATGATAAATAGGTTTTTACCTAGGTTTTATCTCTAGATTGCCTTTCCAATAGCAAAAATACAATAAAGTGCCCTATTGTGTCTTTCCAGTGCAGAAAACATGTGCCCTCTTGGGTGCCCCTCCTGTACAGAAAGCATTAGAAAGTGCCTTCTAGAGTGCCTTTCCAATGGAGAAAACATGATAAAGTGCCCTCAAGGGTGCAAATCCTAACCCTGACTAAGCATTTTGTGCACGTTGGTGCCCCTTTTTTTTGCCCCTGGCCCTGAAACAGCCTGAGTCTGCCACTGAGACAGACCTAAACAAAGCAGGACAACGGAAAGTGAAAAAAAGGATGGGATGAAGTGTTTTTGATTGAGTTTTGCCATCCAGGCATTCATCCGTCCTACCGATCTCCTCTGTTCCTTCCACATCTCCCAGGACAGTGAGAGAATCAAAGAAGCAAAAGTCTGACTCTTCCAGGTCAAAGTCAGCAAAGTCGAGCTGCAACACAAAACAATAATCAGATGGGTTGCTGATGCGTTTGTGACAAAATCCTGAGATTTGAAGAGTTTGAGTCATTCATTTGGATTCAGTGAAAGATTTTGAGCATCACCTTCACAACATGACCCCGTGGAGCGTAAATAACCCAGCGGAGGACGCAGTCATTACTGTAGAACTGTGGGTAATTTGGGCTGTGGACAGTAGTCTGATTCTCAACTAGAACAACAGTCCCACATCCTGATTGCACACACACACACATACACACAGACAAACACACAGACACAGACACAGACAGACACAGAGGAAACATAGACACAGGCACACTAAGCATTATTACACAGAAGACTGACCAGTTTAACACAAATACACACACTCATCTGCACACTGAAAACAAAAGACCCATTATTAGCAGCTGGGTTCATCCTCTCCACAGCTACTCAGCCAAAGTCTGTGTGTGTGTATGTGTGTGTGTTTGTGTGTGTCTTGTGCCGCTCATTATTGTGTCATGGGATACGTGCCCGCACAACCACTGGGTTGCTACGAGCTCCACAATCAACGGACATAGCAATGGTTTAAACTGTGTATGAACTTTATATACAGTTGAGGCTAAGTAATGGACACAGAGCAGAATGTATATCAGCCTGCAGCACTGCACTGTACATATACTTCAGTGTTACATGAAGAGATGTGTGTGTCTGTGCACTGTACGATATATTGTGTGTTTGTGTCGTGTGTTGTGTTTCCCACCAGGATCAAAGCGTCCCTGGACAGCACGATGCCTAATAACAAAGCCGCTTCCTGCTCGGTTAATGTCAGAGGAAAAGAGAAGTGTTGCATTCTGGGAATTATTCAGGAGTAGTGGACCAGGAGGGACACTTCCACAGAAAATCCCTGTAAAAAATGGCAAAAAAGCCAAATGAGGTTAAAGCATATTGTAGTATAGTATGTGCTGTATGTGCACACGTTATCTCCCACAGAGCAAAACTGGTCCGGGCCATACACTCGGCCCAAATACAGCAATGAACTGTGGTCCACATCTGGGCCAGATCTGTTAGCCACATGGCCCATAACATAGCCATATCCCAGCCAACTGTATGACCATTGCTGCCCTGTTCTGGCCCTGTGTTGGACCACACAAGTTTCAGCACTCTTTGTAGGAAACTGTTTACAAGTGTTCAGTGTTGGCTGGCTATATGGCCCATATGTGACTACCAGATCTGGTTCACATGTAGACTGTAATTCATTGCTGTATTAGACTACTTTTGCTATGTGTTTGCATATATGTAACTCAGTAATGTTTAGTTAGTGAATGACTCTTAGCAAGTCAAGCACTTAATGAATTAGTAAAACTGGTTCTTTGGCTTATTTGCTTTCTTTCAAAAATGAGATGAAAAGATTGATATCATTCTCACGTCTCTACAGTACGTTGACTTTGCATCTGGAAGGAATGTAAAAAGTTAATGGTTTTAGCAGGAGTTATGTGCTGGAACAACTGCTTGGAGAACAACAGCCTGACACAGTCACTGTGTGCAGCTTCCAGAAGTCTTGCTGTCACTGCGAGTTTCCCAGGTTTGGTATCATTGCTTTGCAGAGAGCATAGCTGAAACCTGTGCTTACCAACCATGTTTGGCTGGGCTAAAGAACAAACTTCAAAATTGTTTGGCAAGAAATAGCTTCCACACATAACTAACCCTAAAATTGTATTTTTTACATTTCTGTTCATGTACAGGTTAGCAAAAAGACAGCTCTAGAGATGTTAATGTAGAGATGTTTAGAGACTTTGGACTGTATGTAACATTTTTATTCTTCTCCTCATTCTCAATCTATTGAAATAGAAAAGAAGCAAATGGGTGTATTTTCTAAAATGTTGAACTATCTTTAATTTAATTAATTTAATCACATTTTCAGAGGTCCTGGGGGGCTTTGATGAGAGTTTATGGAAATAAATGTGCAGTCTCAATCGTGTGTGGCTGAAACTCACCAACAGGCCTGTGTGTCCCGACTGACACGGTGAGCCGATCGTAGCGGCAGTGAGAGTCATTCTCCAGATCAAAATGATCAAACTCCAGCAGAATACTAAAACCTGGAGGAACACTGATACCCCACACACACAACCTGAAGAGACACAGAGACAGAGAGACACACTGTTTTGACTCCCTGGAAAGGCTCTGCTACACTAAATGGAACTGAACCATTATTGGTTTAAAATGGCTGCTATGAAGTCTGAGCTAAATAATTGTTTTTTTATAATTTTCTTAGAAACTGAACATTACATAATTATTCAAACTGATAGTATGCTAGATTGTATTTTGATCTCTTGATTGTGGAACAGTTTAAGTATGGAGCAAAGAGACCTTCTGTTTAGTGTAAATGTAAAAGGCCCATTGCGTAGATTGCAACTTCCTCGCTTCACCTTCCCCTTCCAAGTGCAAAGGAGAAACTACGCTGACCCCAAAATGCAAGAAAAACACAATCGGCCCTATTTAGAGCCAGTGTTTGGTTTGTCCCTTCTGCTACTGTAGAAACTTCACGGTTTCAACATGGTGGCCTCCATCAAAGGAGACACGCAGCATCAGTAGATAAAAAGGGCTAGTTCTGCTGTAACAAGAATAATAATATTAATTTTCAGGTGATTATACACTAATGAAAACATACCTACGAATATTCGAACTCCAAAGATTATCACTGTAAATTATGTTGGTTTTATGGTGGTTAAGTCTCAATAACTAACATTTGTTCTTTCTCCTTATCTGGAGTGTCACTCACTGGTTGTTGTCATAGTGATCACCAGGGCGGGTGGGGTTTCTGGTTACCCCCTCACTGTCAGATACAGGTCCATCTCTCACGCTGCAGAGTTCTGACAGACACACACACACACACACACACACACACACACACACACGCGTGAACAGTACTGCATACATCAAAGAAGGATTATGAAATATAGATGAATAAGAGGTGCTGTGACGAGAGGAAAAACAACTCACTTGATGAAGTCATCCCCTGCTGCTGCTCATCAGCTAAAGCAAACACACAAACATAAAAAATTTAATATGTATAATATCCTACTATTATTATCAAATATTATACCAATACATGAACTTCTTCTGGTAGAACTGTGTACAGACACCTACAGTATACATTCATCTATACCCATATACAATCTAATATTAGACTCATTACCAAAGGATTTTAAATGACGTTAGGCGGGCCACATTTTACAAATATTAAGGGGTCCAGTAATCTTACCAAGCACACCCATGTTGCAAACTTTTGTGCACTTCAGAGGTGGAATGTACAGTTTTGAGGTACTTGCACTTGAGTATTTCAGATCGATCCATTCTACACATTATAGTCAGTGAGCACTGGATTATCCTGATAAACTGTGATGGTGATAAATAGATCCTTAGACAAATAATGGTTAAAAACAAATCACCACCATCTTGTAATCTTTTAAGAAGCCTTAGACTGACATCTGAAAGACAATCAGCCCCACCTTCTTTCAGTTTATGTTTAATCCAGGGCAGCAGCAGCCTGACATCAGTGTAAACTCCTGGAGATCCTCTTCTGGAAGGGGCACGGCTGCTGTTATTTTCCCAGCTCCGACCACATCCCTTGCCCCAGGAAGTTACACCCAGCACTACCCAGTGACCGCCGCCTGACCCTGCTGGACATACCAGAGGACCCCCTGAGTCACCCTAGAGGAGGATGAAGGGAGGACAAAAACACTGCAGAACCTATTCAATGCTTTCTTTTATAACTGATGGCTGATTCGCAGTTTCCAGGGTTTTAGTGAAGCCACACAGCTTGCAGTAAATCAGAATTGGGCTCAGTGGAAAAACAGACAGATGTTGCAGATGGTACGTTGCTTTTTCTACCTGGCAGGCATCTCTCCCTCCTCTCTCTGGCCCGGCACACAGAACTGTCATGGCTGGCTGAGGCCTGTCTGGTCTCTGTTTAACAATTGAACTTTTGACGGTCTGGAGGACAAATTTACATCTGGCTGGGTCCACCAAGTGTAACTGGACCTCTCTCAGCACTGGAGGAAGACGACCCTCTACGAAACAGTAGAATAGAATGGAGAACCAAATAAAACTGTGCTTTAACAATATCTGGTGGGAGCGAGATAACTACTTACTTTCCTTCACTCTGCCCCATCCACCCAGAATGCAGCTGGTTTCAGGTGGGATGCTCTCATCAGGCAAAGGCAGACATATGGGGTGGACACGGGCTCCTGTTGAAGAACTCACATATCAGTGACTTAACAAAATGTGATCAGTGCTACAGTAAGGGCTCACCGGCATCCAAACAAACTGCACTAATTGTCAAAGTGGAAACCTGCCCAATCGAATGCGTTTATCCAACTCCACCAGAGCTATGTCATAGCTCATAGGCAACGCATGATGGTACTTCTCATGGACTGAGACGGACTTAATGAAAAAGACCTGCTCCTCTTCATCATCTACCCTCTGGTCGAAGTCTCCCACCACCACTCTCACACCACTGAGAAACTCTCTAGACAGGGGAGAAAGGTATTAGATCTACAGTTAATGCAATAAACATACATTATCAGGCAGATCGGGAACTGTGGTACAAAGAGCAACCTTTAACTTGCAGCACGAAAGAGAAAACGATACACGGTAAGTAACAACCGTACTTTGAGAGTGATGCAAAGCAGTGTGCAGCGGTCATTATCCAGCGGTCAGTCAGGATGGCCCCTCCACAGAAATGAGAGCCCCTGTTCTGCAAGGAAACCTGAGCATAGATAACAGAGTTTGCATGTCAACATAAGCAAAAGCCAGGGTCATTAAAGCTGCAGTAGGTAACTTTTATTAAAAAAAAACGTTTTGTCATATTTGCTGAAACCGAATATATCCTGACAGTAGTACATAAGACAGATAATCTGTGAAAGAGGGTTCCTCCGGCTCTTCCTCGTGCTCCTAATTTCATTTGCACGAACCCACTGTGCCTGAAGGAAAACAACCAATCAGAGCCGAGAAAGATACTTGATTGTTGCGTCTCATTCCGTCTGACAAACACTTAATTATCTTCAAGCCACCAACCCAAAGTGTCTTACTATCTTTCTTGGTTCTCATTGGTTGTTTTATTTTGGGTACAATGGAGTTTTGCTAGGAGGAGCCAGAGGAACCAGATTTTTTTAATTTATAAAAGTTACCCACTGTAGTTTGTAGGATCAGTGTAGCTGCAAACATGTAAAATGTTTTAGTGAGATGCCAATAAAATAAAATCATTGTATCCAAATCTTCAATGATCACAAAATATGTATTGTTTTTACTGTATATTATTACATTAGCCTTAGTCTCTCTCACCTATCAGCCATAACATTATGGCCACCTGGGCACCCTGGTTATGTAGTCCCATACCAACAAACTAATGCACTGTGTTCTGACACCTTTTTATTAGAACCAGCATTAACTGTTTCAGCAGTATGAGCTACAGTAGCTCGTCTGTTGGATCGGAGTACACGGGCCAGCCTTCGCTCCCCACGTGCATCAATGAGCCTTGGCCCCCCATGACCCTGTCTCTGGTTCTTTACCTTCCTTGGACCACTTTTGATAGGTACTGACCTCTGCAGACCGGGAATACCCCACAAGAGCTGCAGTTCTGGAGATACTCTGACCCAGTCGTCTAGCCATCACAATGTGGCCCTTGTCAACGTCGATCAAATCCTCACACTGCCCATTGTTCCTGCTTCTAACACATCAACTGGAGGAGAAAATGTTCACTTGCTGCCTAATATATCCCACCCACTGACAGGAGCCATGATAACCAGATAATCAGTGTTATTCACTTCACCTGTCAGTGGTCATAATGTTATGGCTGATTGGTAATATACTGCAATATTTTAATGCAACCAAATGTCTGGGTACTTCATATGACTGTGGAGTAAGACTTGATAAAACAGTGATATTTCAGTAGGTAGTTCATCAATACTGAATGTGAATCAGTATTAGTAGTGATACCCATCAGGGCTGAACAGACAAAGAAAGCACCAGCAAAATAGTGAATAAAACATTTCCAAAGAAGGTTTGACCACTAACTAGCCATGGATGTGATCCGTATGTGGACTCGGCCCCTCCGACCACCCTCAGAGAGTGAACCATTGGGCTCCACACCTGAGGAATCCCACACTTTGGACCTGACAGACAGGATGAAATCTTCTCAATCTTCTCTTCACTTCAGCAGCACAAAAGTATCCATTAAAAACAAGCAAGGCCATATCAGCGTCCCTCCATTGGGTATCCACTCATTCACTCACCTTTTTGAGCCGCATTGATGCCAGAGTTTACCCAAAACCAGAGGGAGAGCAGGGCGGCAGTGGTCCTCATCACTAACACACTCACACATCAAGACTGGGTCCCACTCGGGGAGACAACCTGGTTTATAGACCTCACTGTGCGTAAAGAGATACTTGTTAACAACCCAGTAAAAATCTTTCCTCCGGTGCTTGGTACAGACGAAGTGAAGTGCTACTGAGTGAACATTTTTGTACTCTCAAGGTCAACCGTGGTGTAGTGTGTGGGGTTTCGTTCCTACCACAAAGACACAAACAGTCCGGCTGCTGTAAGACATTCAAAGAGGAGAAACAGTCATAAAATGCAGACAAAGGTCCAGAGGAGGCTAGCTGTTACTGTTTGTTATGTGAACACAGACACTGACGTAGATACAGATAGAGCAAAAGAAAAGAAAAGCACAGAAACTAAATTGAAAAACTCCAACATTTTGGATGAAAATATTCTCTGTGCATTTGTCTTTCTTGACCTCGAAGCTTGAATAAGAAGTGGGGGGAATTATTACCATTCCAGAAAAGAATTTACAGCAGTTACTGTTTCCCTGAGTCAAAGAGCTCATTGTGAAAGCCTGAAAATACCACACAGCCTGTTGTGGCCAGCGTGACCTTTGAGGCAAAGCTGTAGCAAACAAGCCCTTATCACGTTCACTCTGCGACTGAACTGCTGTGTATCTGTGTCAAGAGAACAGCATGAGTCAGATGTGGCCGAAGCAGTAAAAGGTTTTTGAAAAGCGTGGTTCTGACAGTTAAAGCCTTTCTTGGTTGTCTGCCACAACATAGTTCTTATCATATCTCCATCATCATATATTACTTGGAACTAATCTGATGTTCTATAACCAATGTGTCAGTCAGTGAGCTTCATCTACAAATGTCCAGTAAGATACATGAGCTGTAGAGGAGTACAGTACAGTTTGTTCTGCTCTTTCAACACCAAAAAATAGATAGGCTCCTGCAACTGTGTGTCTGTTTAGTTTGAGAGAGCCTCTCAAGTTTTTGGCAGTAACCGTAGTTTCTCCTTCACGCTTGGAACAGGAGGGTGAGGATGCCACTAAATCCTACGCACTGGTCCTTTAAAACATGTCTAAGTCTTTAAATGCCCTTAATTTAGTATATCGGTTTGGATATACAATGAGTGTTTTTATTCTAATCACGCATGACTTTTAATCAATTTGTCTTTTCCTGGCAGAAACGGGCTTCCATATTTGTGTTACACAACTTTTTGTACTTTGGAGTAAATTTACTGTGAATTTACCATTTCTATACTGTTATAACATATAATTGTATTAATGTATTAAACATATATTTATATTGTACATGTACTGGCTTCATTTGTTTTTTACTTTTTACACATTTAACCTTCTGGCAGAGATTAGATTTTATTGGTTCATACATCCAATTTTACTAATTCTCATGTTCCATTTTAGTTTTAACCCACCAAAGTGTTCAGAATTACCATACTTTTACAATGATCAATGTAGGAAACTTAAAAAAAGAAGCAAAGCCTCACCAGTATGAAACGATACCCAGACACAATCTCCAGTGTCAGTTTGCTTAGCAACCAGAGTCAAGTGAGGGCAACAGATTCAATTCATAACAGAAGTTATCTCAGGACACTTTTCAAATAGAGCAGGTCAAGACCGAACTCTTAATAACATTATTTACAGAGACCCAACAGTACCACCATGAGCAAGCACTTGGCGACAAGGGCAAAGAAAAACTGCCTGCAACTGTGTATCCCTAAGAGAAGTTCGACGGAACAGTATCAGGTATCATACTGGTGACTTTCCCTAAAAAATCGTGGTGTCTTTAGCGGAGTACTCCACACTATTTTCATTTATCTGTGTCATAGTGTTTCTGCACTACATTTCCCAGAGTCACTTGTTGAGTGGGGCCAGTATTTTGGTGTGTTTTCTCCTTTAATCTTTTCAGACTTGTAAAAGACTTGTTAAATACATTGGACATGGTACTTCTCTTTCTCTTCCATTTAGAAGATGTGTTGGTAATAACGCCCTGCTAATCTGCTGAAATAATGGGTTACATGATGGTCTAAATGAGGATTCAGGGGTTTTCACAATCAGACAAAAATTGGGTTTTCTGGGTCACCTTTAGAAAATGTATCATGGTAAAAACTTTCTTATCTTCTAAAATCTTCACTCTATATAGTAATATTCACTTTTTTTTTTAAACTCTGTTTTGGCATCTGGTTGGTATCTGTGCTATAAATCTGCTAGCCATCTTTACTCATACTTACTTTCCACTTCTACCCAGCAATCTATTTGATTGCATCATTTCCTGAGGGGCAGTAGAAACAACAAATCTAAAAGCTTTGATAAACTGGTGATAGATTTCATCACCATTGTGTTGGCAATAAAGTAGGAAAACAGACCGCTATGTATACAATCATGACCAGAGTATTAGTGTAAGTGCTAAAAAGCCCTCATAAACATTCATTGACAGATATTCAGTGTAGACGTTTGGACAGAGCCTGTGTGAGTGTGTGTGTGTGTGTTTGTGTTTTCTGCCTCTGGGCTCCCACTCTAAGCCCTGTAAGCCCCTGGTTCCTGTTTATGCAGCCCAGTGGCCCAGGCCCCACTGGGTGTGCACGGCTGGTTGTGACTCAGTGCTTGGCATGGTTGCCGAGCCACAGTTGCCATGCAGCGGTTGCCAGGTGTCGCAGAGAGGAGCATAAAGTACTGAGGCATCAGTGTAGGACTGCTTTCGGCATCTGATGACCCACATATTGAATGGAAACATGGAGAGGTCAGCTGTCAACAGGCTATTCAGTTAAGAGTCGCTGCATGTTTTCATTTCTGTCTGTGTTGCTGCAGAGGAACTATCAAACACATTTGGATAGTTTCTCCCTCACACATAAACTCAGATCGCTGTCAGAGCATTTGTCTTGGACTTCACTCCAGAGCGTCAGGAGACGGAAGGCATTTAATGTCCATGAATTATTAATGTAAAGCTGGAAGTCAGCAGGAGCACTTTTCGTTGTTAGTCAATTTATTTGAGCTGGGAAGATGCCAAAAAAAAAAAGTTAGTTTGAAAATGACACAGCTCAGAGAGGCATTCATGGACAAAATCAGCTACTTCTTCCTGTTTGTTCACATTCAGGGCTCTGTCCATTATATGGGTTTTTATTTTCCTGGGAGAAACGGGCTTCCATATTTGTGTGACGCAGCTTTGCATTTGTACTGTGGAGTACATTTACTGTGTATTTACCATTTCTATACTGTCATAATAAACAGTATTGAATACATTTTGCTACTATATGTTTCTACCAGGTTTGTATTAAACATATTTATATTGTACATGTACTGCTCTAATTATTTTACTTAAACGTAATCCACTTTTTACATTCTGGCAGAGATAAGATTTTATTGGTTCATACAACCAATTTTACTGATTCTCGTGTTCCATTTTAGTTGTAACCCACCAAAATGTTCATAATTATCATATTTTACAATGATCGAAGTAGGAAACTCAAAAAAAGAGGTTTAATGACCGTTTTCCTCAGCCTCTTCACCTGCAATGAGAAACAAACCCTCATCAGTATGTAACGATATCCAGACACAATCTCCAGTGTCAGTTTGCTTAGCAACCAGAGTCAAGTGAGGGCAACAGTTCAGACACAACAGCATTTATGTGAAACAGTAATCACATTACCTGTTCCTGTACGGGTTTACAGTCACTGGCTTTAACTGATCTCTCATAGCTTTTATATAATAAAAGGACTTTTTAAACAAACAACAAAAAAGTAAGTTTTAGACTTTTAGATCAGGCACCAAATTGTCAGGGAACTAATAATCCTCCTTGGGGACATTACCAGAAACACTGCCCCCCCCGGCCTTTTCTAGGTAATGAAACTGATCCCAAATGAGGACAGGCCAAAGCTTCCAGTCACGGAGTTGAGTATAATCCTCAATGGCACCATTAAATCTTAATGGAGCTGTTCAATAGCTCCCACTTTAGTCAGGCTTCCAGATACAGTGTGTGAAGTGGAGAGCAGATCTGTTATGCACCACAGGAAACAGGTCAGCTGGACAGATTGAGACTAATGCTTCATTAGTTTTCACTGTCAATCATACTGCCAATCATACTGCCATTCCCTGTTTGAGTCTCTGATGATGACGACTCCTCTACTACAAAAGAAATCAAAAGTCTTAAATCAGGAAGAGGATTAAACAGTTTATTCCTTCTTTTTGGTTTACAAACAAAAGGCACCCATCGATTTATTGTTTTTGGAGTTTCACATCGACAATGACTGTGGCTCCTTTTCTCAAAGTGAACACACTGACCTATGCCCATCACGCTGCTCAAAGTAGGAGCGATGAAACGAGTCGCCTCAAGCACCACATAAACACCACTTTCTAAATGAACATTGACACATGAACCAATCTGAATGCAATCAGAAGAAAACATACAAGCATTCTAGTGCAGCCTACACATATGGAGCCATGTTGACTGTGTAAAAAGGAGCAAACAATCATTGAGGCAGGAAAAAAAAAATTTAAATTAAAACCACCACTCCCACTTTGATGAGAGTGATCGATACACAGGCCATCAAATCTGACACATGTTGGAGAGAGAAAAAACAGACTGGTAACATTTTTACATGAAAACAACATTGCATCAACACAGGTTTTAGCAGGAAACCATTCTTCCAATAACCATAAGGAATTTACTCCTAGAAAAGCCTGATGGGAAAACAAACCAAATACAGAATTACATTATTATATACAGAACCAGTTTAATCACCAAATCCAAATGAGAGTTACAAAAGCTGCGATCCATTATTCAAAATGACTTGTTTCCTTAAAAGGGCCCTGTAAACCTATTTTCTCAGTCCACTACAAGAGCACTCCAGTTTTGGTTACTTCACATAAGACGTTTCTTTGTTTGTGTTTTTGTGAGCGCACTGGTTTGATGTGGGCGGGGCTCACTTGAAAAAGGGTGATGTCACCTTTCTGTGCACCAATCTGGATTTAGCATCATTTGAATCAAAATCTGATCCAACCACACACACAGGGGGAATATCCTAATTCACATTCCAATTCAGAAGACATCATTCATGTCTGAACAATAAATGTCTGAAGCCAAGAAGCTAGCTTTGTCTTAGCACAAGACAGGAATAGGGAAAAACAGCTAGCCTGGCTCTGTCCAAAAGGCTTTAAACCCCCCCCACATCAGCCATCTAAAGCTCACTCATTAACATGTTGCGTCTCTTTGTTTAATCCATACAAAAACCCTAGTGTAAACCACACGCTGCAGTGTCACAGGGAGTCTTCTTGTCGCTGTGAGGTTGCCAGGCAACCAGCGGAGACTCCAGAAGTCGTCTTGCCTTGCTTGGGAAACAGTCTGTTAACTATTGTGCTTCAGGAGGTACTGGTTGGCCTATTTTGTTATCTTTGGACAAGGCGAACCATTTCCTCCCGTTTCTGGTCTTTATGCTAAGCTAAGCGGCTGCTGGCTCCATATCTGACACAAGTGAGAGCACCGTCTAACTCTCAGCAAGAAAGCAAGTGCGTGTGTTTCCGAGACCATTCCTTTAATGTGGATTATTGTGTACATTTCTTCAAGAATATTTCATGTTATACAGAAATACACTTTTAAAACCAGGTTTTCAGGGGCTTTGATTGCTTTAAATAATGGATCAAGGGAACTGTATTTAGGATTTGATCCAAGTGGAGTTAATGCTGATGTTACTTGTGTACAATGCCCTGTTAGATGAACAAACCATTGATATGATTCAGTAGTTCCTGACATGAAAAAGGACCCGTTCATTGTTCTCACTTCTCAAATCACAAGAGCAAGCCTGAAGAAAACCCTGAATTAGACACACCATCGCCCCGCCCCCCAAACAACTAAACAAGAGCACGACAGCCATTCACCATCACAAAACTGACCTACTCAATCACACAGTCACAAGGAAATGGAGTTACAAGAGCAAAAATGTATTGCACGGCACTCCAATAAACAAACAGTTGCTTTATATTACAATAACAGGCAATTATAGTATTGTTTATTTCTTGTTTTAGGAGTCAGAGGAAGATTCTGGCTGTGCAAACAAGTTAGGCTGCGTTATTAGGTTACATTCAGATAAAGTACGTGTACATATACAATAAATTCAAATGACAAGCAACTTATGACAGTTAATTTCGCTCTGAACATACTGCACTTATGTTTACATACTTAAGTATTTACAGCAGCTGAAGTTGGTTCAGTAAGCTTGTGTCAGTAAGACAGCCACGCAATGTCATTAGCATAAAAATACATCTGTTCCGTTATATTTTGAAGTCTACCTAAATAAAGCTGTACACAATATAATTAGAAAACATAGATCTGATTGCTCTCTTTTCACATTGTTAGAATATTGAAAAAAGTTCAGGCACGATTCACACTTGCACACGTCTTTCCAAAAGGGTGCATCTTTCCACCAGGTCACATGATCCTATGTAAACTTGCTCATGCTGGGAGTGTGAAAAAGACCAAAATCACATTCCTTACTGAATCCAGGACGTACACGTAGGTGTTTGAAGTTGCTATGGCCTAAGACACTCTGAGAGGACACATGCAAGCACAACCACAGACACACAGACACAGACACAGACACAGACACAGACACACACCACACACACACACACAGAAGAAACAGGTAACAGACGAATGACAAAGTGCACAGGTAAACCTCAGGTATGTTAACTGAAGACCTAATATGGCAATGAGGGTTAATTCGTATTAAAAAATCCAGAGAAACTTGATATAAAAAAATGCAGCCTTAGCTTATGTGGCCAGTTCTATGACGACATTTCTGGTCTGAAAAGGCAAATTTCTTATGTAGCATGATGAAGGCAACAGAATGGTCCAACAGCAGGTTATAAACAGCACGAGCACATGAGGAGTCTTGCATACATTTATTTACAGAAGCATCTAAGATAATGAACAAGTAACATGACAAATATGACCTATAAAAGTACTTGAGAGGAAAATGACTGAAGTCAAGTAAACCAAACTTTTCACAAAGATGGTGAGCTACAGTCAGAGCTACCTGAAAAGTAGTGTACTAACAAAGACCAATGATCACCTACATTATATATCCATGACTCAATATGTTGACCAGTGCTGATAGCATTTAAATTCTCAAGCATAATGGAGAAAAAGAAGCCAAAAGTGACAAAATTTCTCCTCTAATTCCATCCGTCTCATCCTCTACTGAGCTACGAGTCTGTTAGCTAAGAGGTATTTTGGCAAAAATAGCTTTAAGACAGTCACAAATGACAAAAAGGAACCTGTAGAAGCTTGATTTGCAAGATCTGCTGATGCAAGAATGATCAGTTTGTAGGCACTGGACAAAGCCGTCGTATTACAATCTACATTGTGCTTGGTCATAATTAGGGAACACACACACACACGCACACACACGCACACACACACGAGGTGTGTGTCTTTGCCAAGCAGGAAGAGTGAAACACAGCCACTCTTGGCTGGCCATGGGTCAGTATAAGCAAGCCACCCCCGCCCCGAAAACCCCTGCAATGTCAACTTTCTCCTAACACCAAGCTGTCAGTGCAACTGTCAAACATTGGTTGGAATGGCTTTGGGGTTACAAGGAAAAGACAGTTTAGAACAATGATTCCTAGACCAGCCTGTCTCTGAAGAAGCCTTCACAGACTCATACAGAATCATCCTTCAGCTGCTTACAACCACATGTGTACAACCAGCTCCACTGCCCCACTGCCCCAAGCAAATTGCTTTCGTTTTGGCTTTTTGACACATTTCAATACACCTCACTGACAACAGCACAAACCTGATGGGGAGGGGGGGAAGAAAAAAAAAAGGAAAACAAAAATTGGGAGTTATGTTTTCAGGTGACAGCAGAGAAATATAACTGACACAGCACTTTGAGTGGTTATTCTTCAATGAAAGATTACATATACAGAAGTCTGGACTGACTCAAAACCAGCTGAGGATTGTTGCAGCAGAGCATCATCCAATGCATAGCTTTGTTTTGCAGGCAGGCAGCCAGGCGAGCAGACGGATGACAGAGCAGGTTTGGGTGCACTGGAGCTTGAAGACTGCAGGAGTCAATCTGGCACCAAAGGGGGGCTGGATTGAGTGGAAACAGAATAGAGGGTGTGTGTGGTCCTGCTTCTTTAGCTAGTCCAATGGTTGTTAGCCTGGGCGTTGTGAGATAAATGCATGCCTTGTGTTTTATGAAATGCTAGACAGATCTGAAATATGCAATATTTAGACAGCTGTGGACTCCAGGCTCCTCCAGTAGTTCTGTCTGTGTTCATGGGTTTAATGGTTCCATGTGATCCTTGAGAGTCAGGGCAAACACGGGGCCACAGACAGACAGCATGGTACCATTTTAGGGGTTTGGGCACCTCTCATCGTCCACAGCCAGCGGTTCCTCCATTTCTTCGCCCCTCCGCCCTGCCAACCTGCTGCCCCCCCCGGGCTCATTATCTCATGGTGGAGGAAGCTCTGAAGTAGGAGAGGAATTTGAAGCAGAGGCTCACCACAAAGTACCAGATGTTTCTGGCCATCTGGGACCGGGCGATGAAGACACGCCAGATGAACACCACCAGGATGGTGTTGAAGGTGTAGCGGATGTTCCTCAGCCTGGGAAACAGACACACAAATGAGACAAATAGTAGACTTCAAAAGGAGGAATCCAATTTTTAGGTTTTGCCATGGCAAAGGTATGAAGTGTGAGAGAAAAATTGCTTTAGGGATGTACCCAATTCAGAAGTTTGTCAGTCGAATCGGATTTGGCTGTTTGATACAAAGATTCAACTATTTGTTACTTTTTCCAGCACTAGTCTAAACAGGAAAAGCAGCAACATGAGTTTTTAGCCTACCCCACACTTTATTTGCGGTTCTTCGTCCTCTGTGATGTGAAAACATCAGATTCATAGTAAAAGTGTGCATCCTGCTTATTGTTCAGCAGAAGAGACGCTCCATGGTGCGCTGAGATGTTATAGCTGCAGAGTCAGAGAAGATGGCAGTAGACAGTTGTACCACTGTCTGGTTCAAAAGCCAACTTCACTGACAGTCAGCACCGGAAGCAGAGAGATTCAGAGCAGCCACTGGCTGCTGTCCAGCGGTATATTAATTATCACTCGTCTCTGCCTCCATCACAGTGATCTTTGGTCATTTTCAAAGTCACTTTGTAAAGTTTACAGCCTGCCATGCTGTTGCACTGTGAACAATGACGCAGCTAAACTGAAAAAATACATGTCGGCTCGCGGTCTTCTCCACTGATGAGTTGAATCATCGAGTTTAATAGTTTATTCTGAACAAAAAACTAAATCATATCCCAGTTGTCTATTTAGTTCTCACAGATGTTTTTAATTCATGCCTGTTCCTTTTAATTCCTTGAAATGTTTTGCATGCTGAATTATTCACGAGCTTGGTTAAAGCCGAAAGGATTACTGCCACTGTGACTGTGCTATCCACTCAGAATTATAATCTGAAGAACAATTTGGCTTTGACCCCCCATATTCCTGACACATATGAAAGACATCAGTAGTTAATGGAAGGATGAACTGAAGTAGTTGAAAATCCAAAGGATATTTAAGTGCTAATGCAGAGCTGTACTGTATGGTGACCTAGATCAAATAAAAGCCGCCTACTCTCTACAAGAGAACGGCAGCTGTCTATAAGAGCTCAGCACATACAGCATTTCTTCCTGTGTCTGTATTTGTTGGCAGAATTCCAGATGTGATTCCACAGACTTACTTGTTAAGGTGTTTGCGTGCAGCAGGCAGGCCCGACAGCTCTTCGTTGAGGACGTATTTTTTGGTGCCCATGCAGTAACTTTCCATGTACTCCGCCCAGTGTAGCTGACGCACATCAAAATTAAACATCTACAGTATGGACAGAAGAAAAAAAACAAGAGAAACTCTCAGTAAACTTAACTATAAAAATGGCAACTTTTCAGTGACTGACAAGAAGTTTAGTCTTCAGCAATGACATTTATTAGCTGAAAATTTAACTGATTATTAAAAAACCTTCTTGTTGAGTTGGTGATTGGGGTACCAAAAAGATATTTGAGAGAATTTAAACAAATATTAATATCGAGGCAAAACAAAAGTAAAACAGTAAATCTAAGAAAACACTACAAAGCAATAAAAAAAAAGTCTCCAGCCATGCTAGCAGCTCTTTGAGGCTATACCTGAGCACAGCAGTGCTTTGAGCCAAATGCTAATGTTAGCATGCACAGTGACAATGCCAACATGCTGGTGCTGAGCAGATCAATTTACTAGATTTACAATCTTAGTTTAGCCTTTAGCCTGCTAACATTTGCTGATTAGCACTAGAGGCTGATGGGAAAGGTTTTTAAAATCATAAAACAAGTATTGGAACAAAATGTATTTCTCATGGTGGCGCTAGAAGTCAGATGAAGTCTATAAGCTTCTTCCTCTGGGGACCATGAATGTTATAGCAATGCATCCAATAGTTTTAATATTTGTGTATCTGCTGACATGTCACTGATGTACTGTATCTGGATTAGACAATACTGGAGCATAATATTGGCCTCCCAATACATCTGCTCTATCATGAACAAACTGACGTTTTAAAGAAGTCATTAGCCAGCATTTATTACAGAAAGAAATTGTAATTCTGTGCCTGTTGTGCAGCGTTTTCTACAGCAGACATGTTTACTTTTCACAGTAAGAGAAGCATGGGGGTTACTATTAACATGTCAGCAGCTAAATGGAATTCAGCCATCAATGGCATCATAATTTACACCTGCACATTTCCTACTGTCAAGAAATAATTTTTTGTAGGCACAATACAGGGGGTAAATGGGGAGTTTGAGTAAAAAAAAATTTAATAATTTGTCTGCATGGGAATTTAAAAGATATCAAAGCAAAGAGCTGCACTGAGCTGTAGCAGGCTGCAAATTGGGCCTGCAGAGCAGAGCCTCAGCTGGCTTTGGCCTAATTTAACCCCCAGTGGGTGCCGTCCACAATTCGGGGAGAATAAAGGTTGATCATCAGCTGAGAGATGAGGAAGGCACAGTGGCACATAGCTCGTGTTTGGATGAGTGAAGTGAAGTCACTGTTAGTAGCTTTGGAGGCAGAGTCTGCCTTTTAGTTAGCACCCAGGGAATTAAAGGTTCTCAGTCCCAGAGCAGCCTTTAGCTTTTTATGGTGGGAGAAAGGCAGTGCAGAATTAACACTCATTTCAAGAGTTTCATTTCCACTATGAAATACTTTTAGCACTATTCTAGACTTACTAATGTGATATAAAAAGGTATTAGCTTATTTTGTCATCAGATGTGCTTCGGTAAAGAGAACAAAGACAAAACGTCAGTGCCTCATAGTACAGGAACAATGGGTCTAATGTGTAAACAGGACATAAAGTAAAAGTCTCACTCCACCAACATGCCCTCCACAACTGCAGATTCCTTCATCCTGAACGACGTCTCTGTTCACTACAAATTGACGTCACCAGTGAACAAATTACTCACTCTATTGTAGCCTACTATCAGACATTAACGCAGCGTTAAATCTGTCTGCCATCTCTGCTGTGTGTGTGTGTGTGTGTGTGTGTGTGTAGGTCTGTGTTGTGTGGTGGGGGCAGACATGGGCGGCAGAGGGACAAAATCTGAATAACGTGAAAGAGACCAATCTGTTTTCCAAATAACAAGATTACTGTCATCTGTGTCCTCCCTACCTTCTTATCCTCGGGGCTCATCTGGGCCATCAGCATGGTGACATTGTCGTTGTTCCACACCCAGGAGTGACTGGTGAAATACTCCAGGACCATCATGGCTTTGTGGAGGCGAGTAATCGTCTTCATCATCCTATGATAAATGAGCCGCGAAGGAAAGATGGAAAAGGGAGGGAGGAAGATGAGAAAAGAATAACATTGGAATGGACAGAAGGTGATGGTGGTGTAGGGCCAAAACATAGAAGAGGGACGATGCAGGAAGAGGAGTGTTGCAGGTAAAGAAGTTGAGTAGAGAGGTTGGATGGACAGAGAGGGAGGCAGGAAATATAGGAGGAGAGTGTGGATGATGACAGAGAGTAGGAATAATGAATGAGGGGCAGAACAGGGTTCCATGGAAGAACAGAAGCAGAAGTTAAAGACAACACAGTTAAAGTAACACAATGTTCCTTTGTAGCAAAGGTCTTGTATGCGAGTTCTTTACAGTCTATAGTTAAGGATTTGATTAAGCAGATTTGGGTGTAACATGTATATGCGACAATTTGAGTTGTACAGTGCTATGTGTTTGTACACCTCTTGATCTTCAGTGACCTAAACTTGTGCCTACAACTTGAATCGCTGTCCTGTGAAAACCATACATCTGCAAAACATGAACTTTTCATGAACTAGGAAAAAACTGCAGTTTTGTGACAATAATAAAGTAAATAAAAAAAACTTGCCTGTTTTATGGGGGCTTATGTTTCAAATCTTTGCTGGGAGCAGTGACTTTTTAAAGCCTAAAGTTTTTGTACAGACGAAACAAACGAGATACAATGCGTTCATTAAGGAGCTTTAGAGGTGCTGGTACTGTTAGACAGAGCCAGGCTAGCAATTTCCCCCATTCTCAATGTTTATGCTAAGCTAACATAACCAGATGCTGGCTGTAACTTCATATTTACTGTGGAAATATGATGTGTGACATTGATATTCTCATCAAACTCTCCCCGGAAAGTGAATATACATTTCCTAAAATGCCAGACTATTCCTTTAGTTCATCTTAAAAAAATAAAAAATGCATGGTTTTCATTGGACAGCTACAATATGTAACGTCAGTTCCAGTTCATACTTTTGTACGCCCAATTTTTATTTTAGGATTTCATTAATGTCCTAAAGAGCAAAGAGCAGTTCACACCAAGAACGCTCTACAGATTAAGTCTAGAAATGTTCTAATTATACGATTCACTTTACAAATTTTCTAGAGAGGCTGCCCAAACTTTGTTATAGCACTGTAAGTAGTCAGGTCTCCCCTGGGGACAGTGACTGATAGAGATCAGCTGAGGACTAACTAGATTTAATCTTTGTGCACACCAGGAGGACAGACAACACCCTTTCAAATGGACCCATGAACCAAATTTAGGTCAGATGGATTCAATATTTTGCCCAAAATAATTAAAACTCAACAAGTAAAATCTGCTTTGCTGCCAAAGCAGTCCTGGAGACTCAGACATCCTGTGTACATAACAGTGTCCTCCTGTTAACACAAGTGAATCCAGTTAATACACTTCATTTCTGTGTTAGTTCAGAGTTAGGGGATCATAATTTAAGTGATGATCATTCAAAACCAGTTAAGTTGCTGTGGTAATTAGGGTGAGAATTGGTGGTGGGAATGTAAAAACAGCAGTGCCCGTTATTGTGAGAATTAAAAGGGGGTCTCTGAGTCGTTAAACTGCACATTATGTGTTATTCAGCAAAATTAGGTAAATATTTATCAGGATTGGAATCGCATGGCTGCAACTTTTTCAAATTGTTATAAATAAAAAATACAAAACCTTAATCCAATGATTGGCATGTTATATTTTGGATGAAATGAAACATTTCCACATATTGAGGCAGATTAAGATGACTCAGATTCCTCCTGTGAAAGCGAATGATGATTCAGAGGGTGTAACAAACATGCATGGTTGATCAGCACATAGAGACAGAGATAACCATTACTTACAGCTGGTGTCATACCCAACTAGGATCAAATCACGCTCCTAGAATCTGAGTTAGCTACTAAGCCAAATTAATTTCAGACAGCCAAATACTGTGATACTCAGCTAATAAAAACATTGCATTGTGGAAGAATGCTTGGCACTACGCAACATCTAATGTTTAAAATACCTGTGGCTTGTAGTCAACACATCAATGTGGATACCAATCAATTGACATGCACAGGGGTTGTATTCAGCGGGAAGGGATCAGTCCCCAGCTGGACACAACTTTTTTTTAAATGACCAAGAAGTCCCATGATGCCTCAGGATTTTCCATGATTGGGTGAAGTGGGGGGATGACAATAATGGATGTCATGTTCCAAGCATGATTCACAAAAAGGCAAGTCTCCTTTGAATTAAAAAATAACTGTTTAAAAAAATAAAAAAAATAACACATTCCCAAAAACAGAGGAAAGCTGAAAACGTGCTCTGAAGGGGGTCAAATATTGTTGTCATGACTCTGTACTAACAAAGTCCAGCTGATGCCATAAGGTCAAGTAAAGACACAGCAAACATTTCTTTCCCTGGACCCTTCCTTGTCCCCACCATCCTATTTAACCAGTCAGTGAAAAAACTAAACAAAAAACACACAGTGAGGAAGGGTGGGTTTGTGGGAAAGGTGGGGACTGACTGGCAGGGGGGGAAGAGTGCAGGAGGGGGGCAGTTTTGCAACCTTACCGGGGCTTGCGGCCTGTCAGCATGAGATAGCCGTCATAGAGCAGGGCTGGCAGCGTGTGGCTGACAGTGGTCCAGTACTGATTAGTAAAGGGGTTGGAGCGCAGATTGACATTGGGCCTTCTGAAGGCCTGCTCTAAGGGATTGGTCTTGAAGGTCATGTTTATACAGTACTCTGTAGGAGAGAGATACACATATGACAGGACAAGGAGGACACAGAGAGGGCGAGGTGAGGAAGAGCGTTTCCTCCTCCTACTGATACTAGGCAAGGTGCAGGCCCTGTGGAATGGCTTGACCACTGCTAGCCTGTCATTATGACATCTGAAGGGCTGCAGATCTTTAAGTAGCTGGATTTTAAAAAGGTGACAGATCCAGTTCACTTAACCGTGGTGTGACAATTTAAAAGCTAGCAGAGCTTTCTCAAAGGGCTAACACCTGGGTTGGGTTCCCAAAGGTGTATTCAGACTGAAGTCCACCTTAGTCCATTTATCAGCTAGACTGAGATGGCCTTAGTGCTGACATTTTGGGAACCCAACTGAGAACACCAACATTGCAAGTAGCATGATGTAAAGAGTGCAGAACCCATCAGGAGCCCCCTGTATGTGCAGGAGAGCAGCTGGGTTATACATTCTTCAACTCCAACAAAACTGCACACAAGCATAATGTAACACATTAGCATCGCAGCTAGGACGTTAGGCTACTACACGAAAAGAAAAGTGACAGGACTAAAGCAGCAGAGATGTGTGTGCGTGTGTGTGTGAGGGGGGGTTTGGCATTAAAAACAGGAGAGGTGCGGTGCGTCCGAGTCGGCGATGATGAGGTTACCTGGGCTCTCGTCCAATCAGCCTGAGGTACAGATCATAGAGGAAGGCCGGAGCCTTGTGGCTCACGGCGATCCAGTACTGATTGATAAGGTGATTGGATGTGAGATTAACATTGGGCCGACGGAAGGCCTGCTCAAGGGGGTTCCTCTTGAATGTGGATATTACATGGTACTCTAAGAAACAGAGGGGTGTTCAACACAAAGCATCAATCAGCAAATAAATACATTGTTTTTTGTCATGGCTGATGGAAAACTTTGGTCCTGCTGGCAAAAATCAATCCTTCAAACTTGTCACTAGTTAAAAAAACAAAACAAAAAAAACAACCTCTTCTGATAAATGTATTTATTTTACCTGCTGCTAATCCAAATGCTAGTGTGTTTCCCTTGAGTGTTAAAACTTATCAAAAAGCAGCACTGTAATTTTGGACTTCCTAAGATTTAACCAAATGAAACAACTTAATATAATGCAAATCCAACACAAAACCGCAGCTTAAAATGTCTATTGAGTTAAATCAATACTTGAGGTTCACAAAGGCAGTAATTATTTGGCAAAGCAATTTCACCAACGTGGTCTTTTAGTAACTGTTCTGGAGCCTCTGATTCTGTCACACGAGCTTCCTCAGCAGATGGAGTTAGCACTGTTGTCATGGATTTGTAGATGCTCAAGTCTCCATTTGCATCTTGTTTTGTCAACTACTGTTGCCGTGGCGAAGAATGAACTTTGAACCTCGGCTATTATTGTGGACCTTGTGGTGAGACTGTCGACTATAGTTTCCATGTTCAAGATTGAACCTCAAATAGCATTTATTGATGGGCTATGTATTGGAAATCATTATATTGGAAGGTGTTCCCATTATCTGTCCACCCCTTGAAGCCAACAATGTATAATGAAATATAATGAAGTACCTTGTTTTATGGCCGCACAAAGTTCACAAAATACTGCACTACGAGCCCCAAATTAATAGTGAATATCGATCATCTATATGTAGTCATTAATTCAGAAATTGGTGTTGTTTAATGCCTGTGGGCAATATCCATAATCACCTCTAAACAGTGTATGTGTAAGAGCTCTGTAATGATCCATCTACAAACCAGGATTCATAAGTAACAGGTGAAGAAAAGCTCTCAGTCTGGGTGTGGCAGGCAGTGGATCAGATTACAACAGGGTCTGTCATTAGAGGCTACATTTAAAACATAGGCTTCAACTGCCTTTACAGAGGCTGTGTTCAGGTAAGATAAGAGACATCATACCGACTTCCCCCCAGTGAAACGGGTTGATCCCACCGGTTGTGCAGTTGTAAACCAGGATGTTTCCAGGCCTGTTATAAGGAAGAACAGTTCAGAGTAAGGCTACTCAGTTTTACTTTACAAAGAGCATTTCAATAGATTGTGACCAGAGGATGTATGTGAGAAAACATGATTAAATGTTTGTCTCTTCAACCTGTTGAGCGTCTGTGATCCAGAGTACCAAGCGGCAGCCAGTGTGGCGTTGATGACCACGTCCACAGGTACCAGGTCAGCCACGGCATCATTAGACGCTCTCATTGTACGCAGGATGCCCTTACCAGCCTAGAGAAGGCGAAAGAAAGACCATAAATGCAACTGATAATCTTGAATTAAGAAACTAAGAACCAAAACGGACTGCTGAAAACTACAGAGTACATCAGTAAAGAAGGTTCCTTCTCTATGGACAATGGAGCAAGACACTTCCGGTTGCAAACTGACCCGCCTTGGTTGATTGAATTTGGATACACAAAATCAGGGGGCTCTCCAGCAAGTTTAAGAGAGATGGTAGGGGGGTGTGCTGTTTAGCTGTAGTGAGTATAATGACAGGAGTAACAACAAAAAAACTTTGTATTGTATAATCTATAACTTAGTGGACTTCCTGCTAGCGCCAGAGTTTGTTTACAACCCTACCCACACCATTTCCCATCCTTTCTACTTTTAAACCACACCATGCAAGTACATTTCTCCATGGGGATTTTGGTCTGACTGCAGCCTGAGGCTCAGACTACAGGTCAAAGTATATAAGCCAGCAAGCTGTATAATGCTACATGGACTAAATAAACTAACAAAGAAGATTTCCATTCCAGGGGAAATTTTGCCATTTTAGAACAGAAAACAGGTTTGTCCATTTTAAATTGTCTAGTAATTGTGTCTATAAACCTTTTTCACAGCAGTACCAGTGAGCCAACATGCACAACAGCAGCACCCTGACTCCGTTAGTCCCTCAATGGAACAGAAACTTCATTAGGAATCATTGGTAACACCAGTGTTTACCCTACAATTTCACATCAAATAGTTGCTGTGAAAAAGGTCTATGGAGTAAGTTGTCAATCTGTGATTTAAAGAATTTAAACCTTCAGTAGGTAACACACAGGATTCGGGGCACTAAGACTGCTTCATTTGTACATAACCTTTCCTAATGAAGCTTTGTGTCATATATGGATGACAAGAAGAGATAAGGTACTGGTGAAATCTATTTTATGTAAAAAATTACAACTACTGAGAACACAACATTTCATATCCGTATAGACCACCTAAACAGACTCTCAGTACTTACTGCAATGAATATTCCACTAGGTCCATTGAAGTTATCAATCCAACCCTGAAAGAGCAGTCAGAGGAAGCATACAATTAGCACCGAAACAAAGATCAAGAAAATGAACACATTTACTTTCTGACAGTAAAACAACTGAACGAACTATGAAGTCAATTAATCGGTCAAAAAAATAAATAAAAAGAATAGCTGGTTATAGTTCAAATGCAATGCACTGCTTGCTTCTCTCCAGTTTATGATATATAGAATATACTGGTATTTGTGATGAAGAAATAAGCCACTTCAATATACTTTAGGCTGTGCTGACATGTGATGGTATTTATTATAATAAATATGATGGTACTGGTTATACATTTTATAGCCTATATGATTCAGTCATACAAGCGATCATATTGTTAGACTCAGCCCTAAACGCACGCACAAGTACGAAAACTGAAATGTCCCTTTCAGATATTCAGTCAGGAGCCGTCTGTAACTCAATTTCTCAAAATTTCCTCAACCAGAAATGTAACAGTCCCACTTTCCACAGTGATTCAGCAAAAGGTGCACAGAGCTTCCTTTAGTCCACATTCCTCACATTCCTACCACGGTGGTGGTGGGAGCTGGCTCACCACGGGCTGCTCAACTGCTCCCAACGCCTCTGTGTTGGCAGCAGCAGAGTGCCTTCCGGCTTTCAGAGAGAAGACAGTAGGGGTGTGATTGAAATCTGCATTGTGTCCTGTGCAACGGCTGGAACAGATCTGTGCTGATAGATTGACTTTATTCCTCACTACAGTTTTTTAAAACCAGAGGCATAGATGGTATTCAACACACACCTGAAAACATGACATGACACTTACACCCGTCTGTGTAAGTGGAGATAGTCATTGTTTTAAGAAGTCAATAAACAATGCTCACTATGACGACCAGCTTCATACCCTACGCTCAAAAGGTAGAAGCTCAAGAACGACTTGGCTTTTTCCAACATGACCTTGTTCTAAGAAAGTATATTTCTACCTTTAACGCTTAAATGCACTAAAAATTCCTACTGTATCATTCAGCATACTGCCACATATTTTGAAAATAGGACAAACTCCTGCTGTGATTTGCATTTCCGCAGTATGCTTTGCTCTCTCTTGATACATTTTACACAGCATCCAAAATTAATCTGAGGTTCAGTGAATTTTCATTGAAATCATGTTACACTAACAGCCTGAATCACTCACTGGGAAGGGCTCTTTCCAACTTGCTCCTACTATGGATGGTCTGATGATGGCTACATTGAGGTCTCCAGCCTCCTGTTGCACCATGTACTCAGCCAGGGCTTTGGTGTAGGTGTAGGTGTTTGGACGCTCCCCGATCAGCTTGGGAGTCAGAGCGGACACCAGCTCGTCATCCATCCAGCTGGACAAAAAAATAAAAATAAAAATAAAAATAAAAAAAGATTAGTCTTGTATTTAACCACTTAACCACCTATACCACCAATGCAATGAAAATTTGTCTTCAGTCCAGTTAAATAAAAGTAAATTGTTGTTAAATGTGGCCCATATAAGATTCCAGCGTCACAGTCCTGAAGTGACCCGCATGGCGAATGTCGATGTCACAATGTTCACATGAGGTTGCATTACAAAGAAATCACACCTGTATCTGATGTGAACCACATATGAAAGTGGCCCAAATCAGAATTGAAAAGATTCTATGAGCTTTGTGCTGCTGTTCACACAGTCAGGAAAAATCAGATTTGAGTCACATGAGCAAAATTAAAAAAAAGGTTAAATTCAACCTTTTTTCACCTGATTAATATTACAAATAAGTAATTCAAAATGTTCAACAATTATCAATAGACTGATATGAAACATTTTATCACAATAAATCAGCTATATCGCCCAGCTCTAAACTCGACTCTACTATACATACAATCCCTGAGAAGCCACTAATCTCTACTCTGCAGGCTTCTAATGCTTTACTAATCTAGCTCAGCGGCTGAGACCGGCAGCCTCTACAACATTAGTGCTACTAAGCAGCCATTTACTCTGCGGCCATGGCTAAGCTGGCATGCTCAGTGCTTCACTGACATTAATCTTGATAATACCTTCCTACTTGCTTTTTATGCATCTAGCAATCTGAAGAAATCAAGAATCCTTTTAAAACCTCAACGATAATCCCATGCTACCGCCTGCTAATGACAAAGAAAAAAAGAAAACGACCATCCCTACATCTGTATACTTAATCAAGGTATTCCAAATCAACCGCCACAACCGTTTGTGGACTGTGCGGCAGGTATTCATTTGAAAAGGCTCCAGTTCGACTTACTCAAGAGAATCGATAAGTCTGCGGTAGTCTACAGGAGGAGGGTAGACGATTTCCTCAATGAGCTCTCGGTCACAGTTGGCGTAGGCTGTGGAGATATGAATGAAGATCTGCAGGTGCTTCATCCTGTGGGCCAGTGCCAGCATCTTCTGGGTGGCCAGGACATTCAGCTGCACTGCATCTCTGAGAGGGGGGGGGGTAAAGTTTGACATGCATTCAGTGGACAAAATTAACTGACCAAATAAAGTAAGTACATGATAAACAGTGTGCAAGATTACCATTTCACAGCCACTTTTTAATTTGCAATATGGGACTAATACTGACTCATTTCTCAAGCTAGGGTGTGGTTAGTCTAGTTGTGTCTACCAGCACCTCTAGAGCTTACTAATTAATGTGTTACATTTAGAAAACAGAAAACTAAAAATGTCAAAAGTTATATTGTGGAGCTACTTATGGCAAACAGCCACAGGCAGTGACCACGTCCAGCATCCCCAGGTCTTGTTGTCACAGTATGGTTGCCAGAGCTGGTACCACCATGCCTGTATGTACAGAGAGCTATACAAAAAGGTTGCTGACTCAATCTGAAAACCCACGCTATAACTGGAGAGGACTGTGCAACTCACCCTAAAACCACTAAGTGGCAGTTTCACGTTTCTGTTAGTATACACGAGATACAACATGTTAGTTAGCTTCAGAGGTTTCAGTAGGCAGATCTTTCCTCTTCGGACAGAGCTGCTTTGAAGCTAGGCTAATCACATCCGGAATCCAGCTCCATACTTAACACAGAGACATGAAATTGATATTTATTTTCCAATTTCTCTATTCAGGAAGGCTAATATACGTAATTCCCAAAATGACTCCTTCAAGAACCATTTTGTGTACAGAAACTTGTAGCTTACTACAGGGACACAAAATGACCGCTGATGAAAGGTGTGGTCCCAAAACACCAGTGACCATACAAAGGCCTTTTAAAAATGTTACTTTCTTACTGTCTCTTAACACAATCTCTTAGCAGTTGCAAGTACAGCTGGATTAGCAGTACTCTGCAGGAAATTGCCACCCAGTTGTTTTTTCTGCTGAACTAAAGATGGTGTTTTGACAGAGTACATGATTTGTTGAGGGAGGTGTGTCAGGTGTCTGTGTAGTGCAAACAGTGGGTACAATCTGTCCACACCAGTGTGGTGTCACGGAGTGAAGCAAACGCCCATGATAATACACTCTCCTGCCTGATTATCAGTCATTGAACTGAGTAAACACAATATATTATAAACTATTACCAGGAATACAAAATTAAGAAGAACCACATTGAGAAACATGGTTGGCTTACAAAGTGCCTTTAGAGAGAAATGGGCAGGAAATGAATGTTACTGTGTATATTCCCCATGAAATTTATTAAATTAAGAGGAAGATATTAAGCAAAACAAATCGTCAACTCACTTGAGAGGTTCATTAAAGCGGATGGTGGCGGCACAGTGGAAAACGATGTTAACGTTTTCAGCCAGGATGCTCTGATCCTCTTTACTCAGATCCAGCTCTGGCAGGGTGAGGTCACTGTTCACTGCTATGATCTTCTCTGCAAAGCCCGGCTGCTCCTCTTGCAATCTTTCAAACAACTGAATGGGAAAATGGAGTCAAAATGATGCCCAAATTACTGTAAGTACAAGTATAACACACTGGACTGTTATTCAGTGAGCAGTTGAATATCATTTGAACAAAGAGCTTCTATGTCTATGTTCCTTTTTTCTGATACACAGTGATGATGTAAACACTGCCAACCTACATCAGCCTGTTGCATCAGATGAACGAAACAAAATCTTAATTCAAGAATATTTAAGATAAATATTCTTTATAATGTTAATTTAACATACAGGCTACATTGTCAAGAAATTCTAGAAATGAACACAATAAATAAATAAAAATAACAAAATAACGTACTGTAGGTTCAATTCCTGACATTTAAATAATAAATAAAAATACAATAAATAGCTAAGCATCAGTACTATAAAAACAAGCACTTTTGTCTGCATTATATACAGAAAAAAATCAGAGACCATACACGCAATACTGATAGATCAGTTGTCTCTACTCAGAATATGGGAGAGAAAGTTACTACTAAACATCAGACTGACATTAAAATATCCAGTTATGTTTTCTTCCACATGTGAACAAGCAGACCTATTGTTTAACTTGTTTTGTTCATCTAACATGACCTCATCATAATTCAAGATTTATTTAAATGCTTCTGTTCAGATTTGAAGAAGGTGGGGATGGCTATGTCACAAATGAATAATGAACCAACTTGTGTGGTGCAAACCTGTTTCTACGATAGTTGATGCAACATGCTTCTCCTTCACCTGCTCCTTCACCCCCTCCACACCCCCGTCAGATCCTACCATCCCAATCTTTGACCCCACTTCTCACCTTGCAGTTGATCATGTCAGCGATGCGGGCCTGAGGGCTCTGACCAGCCTTTGACCTGACCATCACATAGACGGCTTTGACTCCTGGGCAGGACCTCAGCAGCTTCTCCAGCAGCACCTTCAATAATGAGCGAGTGAGGGGCACAAAATCATACTTTTTACTCTTTGGACTGTTCAGCTGAGGCACTGCACGCTGCTTATAACTGCAACCTCGTCCTTTTGTCCACAGCAGAAGTGGAGTAAACAAAAGTGTTGTATCAAGAATGCTTCTTCCTCCACAACATCTGAACAGACAAATGCATGAAAATCAAAGAACGGCTGCTCTGTTTGGTAGAGGGACGCAGCAAAAGGAAAGCCATATAAATGCTTTGCTACATTTATTAACCATTCCAATGAAGAAAAAGGATTCATGCATCTGCTGTTCAACCAAGGACGTTGTTACTGCATACACATGAACATAAATGCAGCATTAGACCCTTGAATTAGCACGGTGAAGTCTTGTAATTAAAGCAGCAAGAAGATTTCCAAACCGGTTCCCGTCTCATCTGGCTTGGTAGCTGACATTATTGGGTTCAGTCATGTCTTATTGCCCGCTTGCCTATTCAACTGTTACTGTACCTTGCCCATGAAGCCTGTTGCTCCGGTGATCAGCACATTTTTCCCTGCATAGTATTCTGGGATGTTCACCATGATGTCTGCAGTCCTGTTCGGCGTGCTCCTCAACAGCACTCCACCTGCACAGACAGGACAGAAATAGGGAAATAAGGGAGGATTACAATAGTGAGACCAACTTCATGTCTGAACTTGCTCAATGAGGCGTTTCTCATGTGGAGACTGAAGATGTGAATAAAAAAAAATGAAAGTGAAAAGGGAAATAAAAGGTGAACTGTAAAAGGAAGATACAAGATAGTGGCTTGGAGGGAAGTTAAAACTTGGGGAAGTTGTAGAATTGCTCAAGGTTGTCAGACATGCCTCATGTGAAGCAGGGTTATTTTTACTGAGAAACATCGATCAGCGACACTTTCAAGAATGCACGAAACAAGCACCGTCAAATATTCAAGTCATTTATCAGATGGAGAAGGCGTTTGTATAGTTTTCTTTTTTACATGACAGATTTGTCTGTTTCATCTGCGCTCTTCTCACTGGTTTACAGTGGGGGGGTTCAGTTGGAGAACAGCAATGTCACAAACCTCCCTGCACCAATCAGGATTTAAAAATATTGAAACAAAAATCTGCAAACTATTTTTGTTCATGTTCATTTTCCTCTAGATACTTAGGATTTGAAACCACAATGTAAGGGGGTTTAAAAGCAGGTATGAACAACACTACTACTACTACTACTACTACTACACGACTACTACAACACTACAACAACAACATATAAACTAACCTTCCACTGCCACTTCAGATTAACGGATTCACCTGAATTCATTTACAAAATCTAATCTAATCAGTGAAAAATGCCCCCATATAATTTTACATAGCCAAAAGTGAGGTCTTAAAGCATTTAAGCTGAAATGAATGAATATTTGGTAGTTTTGCTCTGGGCCAGGCAGTATGACCAAAATCTTTTATTTTTTTATTTTTATTTTATTCTGGCAGATTCATGGTATACAGTGGGGTTTTTTTTTAAATACAGGTGTGTGTGTGTGTATATATATGTGTATATGTATATGTGTGTGTGTGTGTGTGTGTGTGTGTATATATATATATATTTATTTTGATTATAGGCTTATTCTACTGTCAGGAGTACATAGAATAGAAAAACATTTAACCAGGTGTATACTGAAGGCTTTGATTACTTTGGGGTTTACTTGGGCCCACAGAATGATGCAATATATGAAGAAATCTGAACACGGAACAGTTACAGAATGTAAACAATTTTCCTTTTCAAAAGAATATATTTTAAGATAGTTTTTGTAAAATCACAAACAATTGGCATAAAATACATTCAAGTATTCTCAAATGCGCTACTACACAAGAAACAAGTGAGTTACAGAAGTTGTTGCAGCTATGCACCCCTATGGCGGTAGGGGAAATTCCAACCGGTGTACTGGTTCACGTGCTTTATTTGCTTAAAAAGGTGTTGCAGATAAATTTTTCTGTTGCCTGACTAATCAATTAACTGACTAATCTGTCTAGTCCCATATCTATGGCAAACATCACAGTAGAGAAAAGAAAGCACATTACACACGTGTTGACTACGTGTTGACTCTATGTATACAGTATGTGATATTATCGGGCAGATTATGTTGGTTTTTCAGTAGAATGACACTGTTGAGCTGATAACAGGCCATTTAGGAGATAAATCATCTAATCATTACCGGGGATTTTCTTATATCAGCTACTGTGTGTCTGAAGCGTATTACAACACTTAATCCAAAACAATGCAAACCCCAAATCTACTATTCAAAGAAATACCACACGTATACTGCCACAGTTTAACACTGCTGAACCCCTAACCCCCCTCCCAAAAAAATAAATCATGAATGTCAACCAAATCACTAAATAAACTTTCGTCCTGGCTTGTAAGAACAAACTGCAGTCATTTAAAATGATGCACAACATGGCCAATGGAATTAAAAGGTAGTTATCTATTTAAGTCCTTTTATCTGCTAAATGACAACATGCAAAGCAATGTTTCATACCCAACTTCTGTGAGCAGGTGCAGATAGATCCTGAATTAAAGGGCATTGTGCTGCTGTTGCAGCTCAAGACTGAAATTATTCACTGCTCATTTTGTTCTGTACAGACAACTCCTCTACTCATTTCTCTGCATGAAAGACTGTTCTTGTGAGATAGTTAGGTGGCAATAGTTGGCAGGATTTCGCAAGACCTCTGTGCAACCCAAATACTTTAGTCCAACACTGTACCATTAGTCATCTGGGATTATGTAGGTTACACTATAAATAGGATTATTAAAAAAAAGGTAAATTAAGCTAAAACCACATATGGCATTTATTTTGAAACCATGACGATAAGCCAATATAAACTGCCTGCAGACTTTACAGCGCTAATCAATGTTAAATGGGGATTTAGCAGCATCACTGCCAGTGTTGTTACAGTTAAACCAGTTATTCAGCTTGCGGGCAGTCAGACCTGCAAGTACACCACATTACCGCATGTGAAACTGGGTTCCTAATCAAATAAAATGGAGGTTAGAAGTCAGGGGTTAAGTTTACATTCAAACCTTTATTCTTCACTTGAAAAAAAGAAAGAAAAAAAAAAAAAAAAAAAAAGGGGGGAAGACATTTCTCAGTTCCTATTTCTGAACAGCTTGTCAGCTCGTGTGAAGAGCTCGGGCGACAATGCTGAAAGAAAGCCACGTCTCATTACCAGCAGTACGAATAAAAAGAAAGTTGAAATGAATGAATTCAGCCATCATACAGCGCTTTTGTCCAACACAGCAGTATATTAAACACAATACAACACAGACAACATCAGTTCTGAGTGGAAGAAAGGACGTTAACAGAATACGATACAGCATGCACTACGCTCTGTGGATACCGGCTCAGACTCTGGCCAATGCTGCAGATGTACTGTTTGCTGCATCACATCCTGTGCCAAGTGGCCAGCTCCAGCTGTATGCCTGTCAGATCCCGACTGTGACTGTGACCAAGCTGCACGCTGACTGAAAGGCAGCTTGGGAATGTGCACAGTACTCACACAAGAGAGGGGAAAATAACAAGAGAAATCTGCTCCAGTTTCAACATTTAAAAAGTATGCAATGAGGGTAATTTTGTGACAAAATGATGACACTATGCCACTGTGCAAAAGGATTTTCATTGTCATTCAAAGCTATAGGTCAAAATGTAAATGTACAAAATACAATTGCAACACTTGAAACTATTTTCTTCAGTACAAGTTTTTCCAAATGGAAGTCTTGCAAGTTCTGCAAGTCTGTGTACCTCTAGACAAAAGGTAAGGATTTGGATTGGGAATTCCCTCTTGAAAATTCATTTCACAAACAAAATGTATAAAAAGCAAGCCAAGACTAGTGACAGGGTCTGGACTTTAACAGTACTGACACCTTCTTCTTCACCTATTGTCAACAATTGCTGGTGTTACAGTCAGCACTTCTTAATTTACTGGGGCGGGGACGAAATATGCACACCTGATGCATTATATTTTTGAGTGACGGGCTATATTGTTAGAAATAACATTGACTATGTATGAAAAAATAATATATAACGTGTGTGTGTGTGTGTGTGTGTGTGTGTGTGTGTGTGTGGGGGGGGGTATATATATATATATAAATAAATAAATAAATAAATAAATAAATATAATATGAGGACAGAAGAGTTGAGTGGGTAAAGTTTATTTTTTTTAATAGCAGTGTGTGCGCATTTTACTACAGACTGCTTTCTTAACGAGGGCCAAGTGTTCAAGCTCAATGATGGATCAATAACATTAACGACTTCAAACCTAGAAGCCGTAAGTTTTGCCATGTTTTAAGTCTTAATTGTAGTGTTCAACCTGCTGAACTTTCCTTTAGCATGTTGCTAAGTGTCTACTGCGTCAGGCTGGGGGATTCTGGACTAATGTTACAATACTGAGGGACAGTTGAGACAAACTGAACGTTAAATCTTGTTTGACGCCAACTAAACAAAAGTAGGTTGGATCCCAGTAACTGTTTCCACATGTTGCTTTTTCTGTGAGATGCATAACTTCTGCATTAGCTTTGTTGTTTTACGGAAGCCAATTTTGCTGTGCAATCGTCACCAGTGTGTCGCTGCTGTATGTGAATTCACTGATAGACATGCCCCGATATATAGCAGGGAACTGTCTTAATTGTCGATTTACAGATTCATTGATTAACTTTTTGGGATTGTTGCAACTTAATCTAAATAAAAACAGAAAATAACTAATTGCATAGGTATTCATTCAACCTCTTAGTCCATCCTAAGATCATCTTGATTGGCCCTGATATTGACCCTATTAAGCAGATCGGTGTTGGCCATAATGTGACCGATTCACGTTGAATACAGCGTCTCCGAAAGCACTGGTATGGGATTGGTACTCAGTATTGGTAGACCCCAAGTTGAGGTATTGGAATGACTATTTTGAGAGTAACAGTCACATCAGTGCTTCCCTGATTTAGATTGGACATCTGGCAGCACTTACAGCCTTGAATCTATGTTGATAGGTCTGCATTAGCTATGCACATCCAGCAGTTGTTCCTCGTTTGCAGACGTGCTCGAGTTCAGTTGAGTAACACAATGAATGAAAAGCAATTTTCCTCCTACAAATTCTACCCTCACAAGTAAGTTCTGGAGCAGAAAACCGTCCCCACAGCATGCTGCCACCACCAGGCTTCACGGAAAGGATGATGTGGTTCAGTTGATGTGCAATGTTTAGCTTACACCAAATCCAGCGTTAAGTCTGATGATCAAAGAGACCATTTTGCTCCCACCAGACCACTGAACCTTCTTCACTTTGTTTCATTGTCCCTCACTAGCCCAGATGTCGTGTGTGGGTCTTTAGGCGATGCTACAACATCAGTGTATAATGCTGCCTCAGCTTCCAGTCTGCAATGTATTCCGTCATCATTCTTCCACTACTCACAGACTCAGCAACTCCGGCTTTTATTCAGTAGTGCTGGCTGAATGTTTGCAATACATTCTTGAGAACTGTGCAAGACCTACAACATTTGATGTAGGCATTATTGTCAATAGATTGTCATTTTAATGGTTTTGTGTGACTCAACTTGGTAATGGATCTTTTATGGTCAGTGCTCTTGCTGTGCTGAGCTGAAAATTAGCTCTAAATATGCATGTGTGTGCTGTGGGCGTGGAAGGGTTTTCACTCTTGGTATAGTTGTTTGCTAATAAGTCACCAACTGCTGTTTAGAGAACAACACAAAACTGACAAATTAAGGTAATGTGCAAAACACCCCAGGTTGGTGTTTGACCAGTACTGCAAACTCAACCCCGTGGCCCAGACCATCACAAAATGTGGTCCAGGAGGCAAACTTTAGACCAAGTACCTAATATCAAAGTCTGAATTACTAGAAACCTAAAATGGGCCCCAGTGTTTTATCAACAACACAGGTTGAATGTTGCTAGGTCACAACTTGAGCAAGCACTCAATCATGGGTATTATACCTGCCAGAGAAAGTGTGTAAAGTCAGGGTGTGTGCTCCTGCGCAACCTGGCACTGACACACTGTCAATGGAAACATGGGACAGCAACCAGCCACATTGCACTGCACAATTACAGTCTTTTACACCGATTATGCCAACAATACCTCAGACAGAACGGGACAACCACATCTTAGACTAATCAGGTGTATTTCAAAATCCATTTGTTTAGCTGCAGCAATAAGCACTGGGCTCATATGTGCTCCATTTCACAACGATAATAGGAGCAACGAGTACACACCAGATAAAGGGAGTATGCTGTCCAATCTACAAACTTTTGTATTTTATGTTCCGCATATTTCCTGTCTGCGTATGAGAGTTAAACTCAACAAAAAGTCCAACGTTCTTTACAACAAAAGGTTCTCAAATGTCAGAAACCAGTCTGGTGACAACAAGGTTGCAGGTCAGACACCCCAAAACAGCTGAGGGGTGGAAACATATGTGGCTGGGATCAAGAATCACTGCAAGCCATTCAGCTCATTCATTGGCAAGACTACACCTGGGCTCATGTTTCCTCCTGCTTCCTAGTCTACAAATAGAGTGTTTCCATGTTGGAGGAAACAAACTAGATGTGGTCGTGAACCTATGAAAAAGGGAAAACTTCTGAATCTTGTCCGAAGAAGTTCTGGGGGGGACAAAAAACAAACAATCCTGATGCACCAAGCTGGTGTCCTGTTTAAGTCACTGCGTTTGTGTGCACATCAGAGTGAACAATGCAGAACTGGGACAAAAGACAACAGCTAAAAGCAGCTTTTCCTCTGCAGCATTCCCTGAACGGAGAACTTGGCACTCTCCTATAGGGACGTCCTTGAAAGCTGAACAGCCAAGCTAGAAAAACTAAAATACTGTTTTGTCCGTATGCTAACAAACCTAACAGACCTGCTGTGGCCTTTGATCAGGTGTCAGTGAAAGAGCTACTGTAGCTTACAGTCAGCAAGTTGATCCCCGATGCCACGTCTTCACTCTGAATAATTGATCAGACGCATTAGAATGACTAAATTGGGCACCTGTGGCTGAGGTTAAACAGTTTACAGAGAGATGGAAGTAAGGTTTGACAACAAACAGTCTCAGAGGAGCAATCCATGTCGGACTAATCACACTGCCAAGGAAAGAAAAACCTTTAGAGAGTTTGAAAGGTTTCCAGACTGTCATAGAGACTCTCTCTTAAATCTTTATCAAACCAGGCTTAGTTTCCATCTCTTATACTTACAGATCCCCTTCAGACATGTATTACAACATATATAAATAGTCTGTTTGGAACAATGTGTCTGATATGTTTCCCCATCCAAAAAAAAAATAAAAATAAAGGAGCATTTCCACATTAAAATCCTTAAAAGGCATCTACTCCTTCCACCTCATTAAAAGTTCTAGGGATATGCAAATGTAGTTCATTTCTAAAGTTTTCCTGCTGGACACAAGATGTCTCCTACTTTACAGCTTCAAGTTTCAACATCAGTTATATGTTGTTTAATGGAGTCAATGAGCACAGAGAAACTTTCCATTTTCAGCAGATGAATGTGAAAACATCCGTCTAGAGTCAAACACAGACAGCATTCACACAGCACGCTGTAGGAACAAGAAGAGAAACTGATTTCTGACTGGAGGGGGATGCAAGTTCTCTTTTGTCAACAGACACCCAGCACCTACAGGAAAGATTTACCTGGCAGAGGATATGTGTCGACTCAAAGGCAACAATGCCAGACCGTGGTGATGGACAAACGTTCCAGTAACACTCAGATCAAGGCAACTTCCTGCTCATGGTGATGTCACAACACACCATCTTTTCGCGTGGCTTGTAAAGACTTGTATTACAGGTCAAATCACCAACGGAGAGTTTGACAGGACATGAGGAATATGATGAGACCGTGAACAGTAGGAAGAGCCAGTGTGCCAGTCTGACTCAAACTAGCCAGAACTAAGAGGAAATGTTATTTAATGCATGTGGAAGATGAACAGATGCACGTGACCAGGAACAAACTGCCTCTAAAAGTCTATTTTAAGTTCACAATACATCAGAAAATCTCTTTGGAAAATGTTAAGAAAAAGACAACACATTCACACTTACTATTAACTTAGTATCTTAAACCTGATGAGGGCACCATTTCCCCCCACCATCCCCCAAACCAGCAGCAGAGTACTGCAAACGGTAACACCCCCCATCTCAACAGATCCATTAGAGCAAAGCAGCTCAGAGCGGACTGAAGCCATACTCCAACAGGCTAAAACGGAGGCAACGGATCCCGTGATTCTCATTATTCCACACAGCTGCCTGCCTCACATCATTACCGGTCACCACTCACCGTCCATTTGCACAGTGGGCGACGCTTAAAACCACACCGACTCTTTGGCTTTGACAGCCTTTAATGTGATTACTGCGAAAGCCTGGGAGTAAATTAAAAGTGAGGCCGCTCAGCTAACCTCCGCCTTCAATGAAAAGTGCCTCTCCTGCTGCCAGAGCGGCCAACCTTCCTCGTTTAAAGTGCTTGAACCGACTGCTAGTGGTCGGCTGGAAGAAAACGAGAACCACTGAGAATTAAGGTCTGCGTTTAGCACGAGAGCTCCGTAGTGGCTGGTGGTGGGGGGGGGTGGTACACGGTAAATGCCCACAAAGTGTAACTTACATCTTCGACCAGCACAACAGTTGTGTTTAGCCACCCCTCCCTCCTCCTCCTCCTCCTCCTCCTCCTCCTGCTGCATCTCTTCCTACACGATGTCACACGTTAGGCAGCCCTGTCACACGCGCTTAGAAAACCGACACACTTCAACGAATACGTGGCGCATTCGGCTCGTGGACGTAATTGGAAGCGGTGTACGTACCCGAAATGTCGACGTTTCCCCGGCTCTTGAACTTGTGGTGTTGGCGGAGCAGCAGCGTGTACCACTAACAGGCGACAGAGTGGAGACTCAGCAGGAAGCCAGCGGCAGTGAGGCAGCCTGGGCGGATAAATCACCCGCCGTGACGTCAGCAGGACGGCGGTCTCAGGCACAGATAGGCTGAAAGGAGAGGTCTCACTCTTCCGTATTTCACTGCGTCTTCAAAAAAAACAACCCAATATGCTTCAGTTGAGTTAATAACATTTCTGAAGTCTGGGTGGCCACAGAGCTCTCCTCCTAGACTCGGCTGACAAATAACGTGCAGTGAACATGAACCAAATTGAGTCTACGAGTCCAAAACTCCACATCACTTACCTTAACGCCAGATTATGTAACTTCTGACAGAGGAAATAACAGTCTTCCCCCTACAAATTAAAAGTTGAATTCCTAGTTATAACACACAGCCATGATCAGTTCAGTTGTAGTACTCCAGGGTTTTGCTACTACAGCCTTACTCAGTGGTGTAATAATACTTTATTTATGCCTCAGTTTTGTTTTTTCACAACTTTCAAACGCCCTGTAATATAAACAGTGACATGTAAGACTACTATATGTGATGAGTAGCGTTATCCCTCCCCACTTTAGTTTAGCCACACCCTGCAATCTGATTGTCAGCAGGTGAGGCTAATCACTTCTCAGTCCTTAAATGTAGCTGTGTTGCAGTCAGCAGTAGGTTTTGCCTCACCCTACCCTGACTCTACATTTGTTTGAGGGATGCCGATGCCCAACTAAGGTATCAATTGTTCTTGGCTTGTTTGTCATATAGTGGGCGCATGCATTAAGTTCTTCCCTCACATCTGTGCAGATGTAATTACAGGACTATGGGAGCTAATTGAAGGTATTTGCTGCTCCCTCCACTAGAAGAGTGTGGTGTGTATGTGCCAGATCCTAGTTGGATAAATTGTTCATGTAACTTGCAGGTATGTTAATCTTAAGTTATGTTTTGATTGTCAATTTTTGATAGCTGGTCTGTGTTTTCTTCAACTTAGTTGTCGGATTTATTTATCTTTCATGAACCAAACTTGTGAGTTAGGGCTCGTCTTAGTGTTGGTGCAGGTGGGCTGTCATATGCTTACAGGTAGTGGGTCACTGGGTGGAGGGTTTCCCCCTGTCTGGGTTTATTGTGCATGCATAAGTTGCTGTGTATTCTAACTATGTGCTTTATTGTGTTTGCAGTGTGTGACCTCTTCTTCCCTGTACGTGGTGGTGACCCCCCCCTTTCCTCTCACTCCTGTAGGCCTCCCCTGACAGCCCCCCTCCCCCTTACACTGGTAATTATCTATCTAGTGAATCATAAGTGCATATATTGGTAATAAATCCTACAGTTTAACCTGTCCCAAATTGTTATTTGAGTCTGAAATTAAAACATTAAATTAAAAAAAATAAACTTAGTGGTTGAAACAGGAAATTCACATCTCTGCTCCTTTTTCTCTGTACTAAAAGAACCTGTGAAAGTGGGTATTCTCTGGGTGAAAGTCTCAGGGTGGCGTTGTTGCACTTGCTGTCAGGGTCTTTAATTGCCCTGGTCACACATACATATTTACTTTACCCAAAAATGGGCCTGTAGTATTTGCACACTGGCACTTTGACTTTAGGGAGTCAGGATCATTATGACGTATCGGTGACCCACAGATGGATGAAAATTGGACTACTACACAGCATCCTAGGATTCAAGGATGAATGATGCACATTCAGTTGGGTTCTATGGGGATTTAGAAGTGGGTATAACTAATGTCGACTGAAAAATAAGTGACTTTATGACCTTCTCGCCACTCCAGTCACATTGCCTTTCAGCATTTATCATCCTGTATTTATTATCTGACTTTGACATTAGAATAATTAATACTTAATGGCAGGAGTGATCTTCTACACTTGACCCATCCTAACTAGTAAGCTGTGGTTTACAATCAGCTGTAGGGGGGAGAGAGGTGTGGGGTGAGTTGATCTCAGCTGGTACTCATTGAGTAATTACACTCACTTCTCTGCAGTAGTGTGCTGGACCTGGGAGGGCTGACACGCGCAGCAGAAAGGACAACTGGAGCAAACCTTCATGGACTTTTGAAGCAGGCTAAGGGTTGTATGAATAGTGTGTACGGCTGTGAAATAAAGAGGTCTGGATTATTCACCTGTGTCGTGGGTTTGTGTGAGAACCCACAGTAGCAGCGAGACTTGATACATAAGCCATGGACATTCACATATCCACTCGATTTGTGATATCAGTGCCTTATTCAAAGGTAACCACTGCTAGATTTGGAGGACCCAGGGCAAACATTTGCTGATTTGCCCCTATTGACCTCTTTAAACCTATGTGACACGTGTATACAGAGACCCAAATTACCCCTACAGGCCTATGGGTTCTACTATGCATGGTTGGTAATCCAGCTTTGAGGGCAAGGGCAATTGTATGACCAAATGTTTTCATGGAGGGAAAACCTAAACATGACAGGTTTCCATACAATAAGGGGTTTTAAATCAGGGCCTTTTACCATTGCATGCTGCGCACACACACACAGGTGGATCTAGAGAAATATTCATGGTGTTCCCAGTGGCCACTCGAAGTGCCATCCCCTTAGCCTTACCTCTTCTATTCCACTCTGTCTATAAAAGGCACCTGTGCTTTAAAGCTAGAGTGAAGATACTTTTATCAAATGAAACTAGATGACCTAATGCATCGTGGTACCACTGTGTTAGCATGTTGGAAAGGGGACCAACTAACGCTCCAAAGTTAGGTTAAATTTTGTCCAATGGAAAAACTGGCATGGCCATTTTCAAACCCATCTGTTGACCTCTGACCTCAAGATATCTGAATGAAAAATGGTTCTGTGGGTACCAACAACCCTTTGCAGACAAGCCCACTTTATGCTAATCGCTTGTTTGGGCAAAAACCATTAAGTTTTTTTTCATGTGGTATAAACATAGAAAAGGTGGATGAGGCACTATCTAAACTGACAGAAAAGACATGACTAGTTGGGAACAAAGGTTAAACAGGTTTAACATTTAATTACTGTAACTAAAATCTACAGAATCACAAAGTAGTTCAAGAGACTTCCATGTTTGTAGTAGTAAACATACTTCTGAAACCAAGTGCTTCTCCCACTTTACAAGTTCATTCAACAGGTGTCCACATGGTAGAGCAGGGTGTGAGCACTGTTAACAGAGGTGCAGGATCTTTTTTTTCCCCACAGGAAATGTTAAAGATATTTTGCATGAGAAGCAAAGGGTTTCAAATGCAAATACAAACCTATATATTCAAAATATACACGCCTCTGAAAAGAAACAAGATTAACAAGAAAAATAACAAATGAGAAATAAAAGTCTGTGGAAAAACACTGAGGATGAATCCAAAATCTATCTTAACACGAAAATCAAAGAGCTTTTTGTTCTCACAGTTGTACTACTAATATGTGTGTGTGTGTGTGTGTGTGTGATCCTATCAGTCTTTACTGCAATCATGTGGTTATCAGACTCATGCTGAATATTTCCTGCTACCATGAATTTATTTATATGTATGTGAGTGCATGTGTGTCACTTCTCAGGTTACATATCTTAACACAAGGAAAAGAGACAAAAGTTCGCCCTCTACTGGTCAGAGGTATGTTTTGCTGTAGTTTTCATCCACCCAGCAAAAAAGAAATGAAGCCCACCTTTAATTCTGAAAGGACCCCAATGGCGCTTTCCTTGGTTCTCAGTCAAAACTAAAAACAAGTCTTTTATTTGCTTCATGATATATAATACACATTGGTAGTAAGGCATAAATAACACAGTGCAAGTCCCTTCCTGAAGCAACATCCTGTTCTTTTAACAACTGTTGATCAGCAGGTGAATGCTGAGCAAGGATGTTAGTATAGCTTCCGGAGAGGGTTATGTATAAGTTCCTCTTCATCTCCAGTACTACTCTCCACAAACAGATCCACGTCTGTGGGAGGGGGAAAAAGGAATTTAGACAAAGAGAACATCTGCCGTTATATTCTGTTATAAACCTTATCTCTCTTTCTTGGGATTTAAAGTGTTAATATGTACTATGTTTGCTCTCACCCATGAGGTTGGCATTGGAGGTCATCAGCACAGGGGCAGTGATCACCGGGACCCTCCTGGTCCCAGGCCAGCATATCCATCAGCAGGTTGGGGTGGTTCCAACAGGACTCCCCTTTCTCTGGTTTGGGATTACACACTGGAAACAACAACTCTGGAGGAGGCAGCAGAGAGAAGAACAATGGAAGTCCCAAACTGTCTTTACTTAGCCACAGTGGCTACTGTATGGCTGCCCTAGTTACACACAATCCGAAAAATATAAAGCCCCTAGCAGATACTCAGGTCCACTATTCAGTTTTATTTTAATAGTTATTACTTATTAACACATTACATCAATCCATGAGGAAGTAGCACATTTTTAATTTCTCTATATGGAGCACCACAGATGATTACTAACAGTCCCCCCGCACTCAGAAATATGTTTTTCATCTTGTTGCTACAGAGTGATGTTTGATCTTCACTGTGCAGAATAATGTATGTGCAGACTTTGACACTAGAAGAATGTTTTCATATTCATCTGCTGAAAGTGGAACGTTTCTCTGTGTTCACTGAAAATTAATGTCTTCCTTTTCATTTCCATTTGAGACTGGATCGCCTTTAGACAGTATATTTGACCATGTGCTGTATATGGAGGTAGGCTTGTTACAGTATGAGCTTGACTTGAAGCTAGAAAGTGATGAAAGAAAGATATGAAACCCTAAAGATCAACTTTACACCCCCTAAAGATTTCGTTTTTAGTCGCCTCAGGTGGTTTAATCTCCCACCATGCTGTAGTGATGTACAGGTGTACTCCAGGACACCATGACATCACTGTAAAAATAAAATATCACTAGTGGTCATCGAGAAAATATGTATTTTTGTATTTTAGGAAGGTCGGTTCACCTGAATTCACTTCAAAATAACAGTAGTAGCAGCATGAAAATGAACTTGGAACAGAAAAAATCAAACAGGGTATGAGAAGAAACAGTGCAGCTGTAAAATAAAATATAATACACTATAGTGGATGCAATAGATACAAATGAGAGAAAGTTAGATTATGGAAAAAGGACAAGAAAAATTAAAGCTTATTTGAGGGACGTGCAAAGACAAATAAGCCAAACAGACCTGATTTAAAATAACATATCCTACAGCATGTGTTGAGCTCGCACTATAAATATATGAGTATGGCATTAACTGAGACAGGTTCAGTAAGTCTGTCTCTCTCCTTTTGTGCAAGTGAGAGTGTTAAAGCTCACCTCGTTGAAAGGCACAGCAGAGGTCCGTCCTGCAGTCACTCTGACCCTGACAGATCGTTCCCTCTGTTCCTTTGGTGGCATTGACTGTACACTGGCCCCACACACACATCTGCTCTGAGCAACACTCCTCATCTTTAGTGCAGGGCTAAGAGGGACACACACACATTAAGATATGCAAATAAGCACGTAAGGTACACGTGGGCTGTTGTTGCATTCATGGTTGATGTACTTTTGTACCATCATCCATTGTTTCATGGTTTATCAGAGCTCTTCAGCTGAAAACAGCTGCTTGATGTATGTGGAAAAATGTATGAGACCAGTGAGACTGAATCAAACAACAAAGCTGCTTCACACCAAAAACATGAGCTCAACAACGCTAAAACGGAATGAGCAACAACCTTCACATTATACACAGTGATTTGATCCGAGGTTGAATTTTTCTTTTGATCAATACAGCTTTAAATGTTATATACAAAATGATCTGCTACTGTGTCACACTATAGAACACCAACATCTCAGTCCAAGACAAAAGGGCACTCCATAGACAAAACCAATCATCTTACCTGGCAGACAATCGTAAAGCACACTTCAAACTGGACAGAAACAAAATAAAACTCACCGAAACATTTGTTAATCTTTCCAACAATTACCAATGTTGGAAAGATAGACGTTTAATTTAACCAGAAACAACTGTAATATTGCTATTGCTCCCCACCAGACTTCATTAACAGGATGAGTAATTTTACATCCTTATAACTTCATTCAAAATAGACAGAAACAAAATAAAACTCACTAAAAATTTCTTTAGTCTTTAATAATAAGAAAAACAACAGTTTCCGTTGCTCTCCTTAGTACTTGGTCCTTGGTACATGGAGGGACTCATGTGGCCAGACCGGATTTGTAAACAAAGCACAGCGAGGCTGCATTAGAAACACAGGCAGGGAGTGCAACGTCATTCTCTGCTCAGGACACCACCACTCCACTATATCTTTACATAGCAAACAGTTTACTGCTGTATTAGTATTTTAAATCTCATATATATAACATTGTACTGAACCAGTAATCACAAAAGAAAACCCTGACTGAATACCCACCATATCTGTTGGTATACAGGGGAGGCACTTGGAGTTCTCTATCTCATACAGGCAGTATTTCAGGTCACCACAGTCCTCATCCACCATGCATTCCTGGGTTGAGAGATAACAAGAGTTATAGTCAACAACAGAGCACAGAATGAAAATGCACATCAGACTGTACACCAGTGTTTGTGTTAAATGTTGTCACTGCAAATCATCAGCTTCCTCTGTCTTGTTTTTGTATTGACACAAAAATGACTATTTCAACTGTTTGATTTGAATGAGGTTCTATTTATCAGAGTTTCAGATGAAATAATTGCACTGATCTAAACATGAGCTCATCTGATGACAGTGTAATGTGCCACACTACCAAGAAGCACTCAACCAAATATAATCATGGTTAACATTTTCCTGTATCACAGTAACAGTTGTCCACTGCACCCTCACTTAATGAGCTCCTGAGTGAGTGGCTGATAGTTTCTGAAGTTGTGTTTCTGCCAGAAACACATATAATCTTATTGTGGTGAACTTCCATTATCTTGATAATTGTGACTATCCTCACATGGCTTGACTTTAAAAAGCTCATCCACATACAGTCCAATATTGATTTCCTGATTTATTTTGGACAAGGGGGAGCCCACATCTTTCCAGTCATTCCAAAATCCTAAGCCCGTCACCATTGCTGAAGGCTCGGTTTGTCCAGAAAAAAAGTTAAACCGGATGTGTGGAAAAAGTATGGATTCCAAAATAACAAACGGAGAGATGAGGTGCCTATCTGTA